GGTATATATCTCCCTGGAAAAAAGGTACATGGAAAAGCTACCAATATGCTATCCAATCTCAGCAAGGAAGTGGTCATGTGGTAAGACACAGTCCACAGAAAAATGGAGATGCTTGCTAGTCTGGATTTGTAGAAAACATTTATATAGCAACTGCTAGGGGTTGTTTTGGGAATGTGTGTTAAAAATTATATTTTGGGTATTAAAATTTATATTTTCGTAAGTGGCCATGTTAATCCTATATAATAAAAGCATAATATGCAAATTATTCCCTTGACCGGGAGTTTGTCCTGGAGTTAGACTAGGGGGTAGGGCCAGTCGGGGAAAGGGAGGGAGTACCCAGCCAGCAGCCAGCAGCTGCTAGGAATCTTACCAGTGCACACATTTCATGCACTGGGCCTCTTGTTTTGCTATAAAAGGCTTTGTTTTGAAAACATTTATGGATAACAGCACAATAAACCATCTTGTGTCTAATGTGTTACTTTATATTCTCCAGTGTTTGGAGGTCACAATTCAAGCATGGCACTGGTCCTATGGATGGTGCAAGAAGATCTGAGAGGAAAGAAGAAATCACTTTACCCAAGAATATCTCAGCATTGTGGTGTCTCCTCCTGCCCTCCATTGCTGGCAGTAGAGTTCGGTCAATAAGGTATGAGCTTTCCTGACAGTTTCTGATAGAGGAGGAGGGAAATTGCTGTTGAAGTTTATTTATTACATCTTAAAGGTTAAATTGGCACAGTGGTTTCTAAAGACGTGACTGGATGATGTGGGAGGAATGAGGTTAGTTGGAATTTTTGGCTCACCTCAGAGGTAGTTTGCAGTGGAAGATGGTTGACAGCTGAAGGAATGGGTCCATGACATACGTTCACAAAGATTGTTTCTCTGGTTACCTACATCTTTTTCTGTAAATGCCTAACACCATCATACTTCTTGGAGTTACAATTTTGTTAAAGATGCTTTCAACAGTTTTCTTTAGCTCTCCTACAGACAAATAGGAGTCAAGGTTTTCCTTACAAAAATATATGGAAGTAAATGTAAACTTTTCTGTGCATCCTGTTAAGCATTTTTGTCATTTGGCTATTGTGTAGTGTGTTTTTATTCTAAGTGGTGTCCTGATACAGTATTTTATTTTTAATTCTTTTTTTTGTATCAAGTATTACATATGTCTCCTTTCCCCCATTAATCTCTCCCCAGCAATCCTCCTTATCACATGCCCTCAACCCCCTAGTGTCTGTGTCAGTTGGTTATGCTTATAAGCATGCATACAAGTCCTTTGGTTGATCTCTAACCCACCCTTCAATCCTCTCCTACCTTTCCTCTGAGGTTTGATGGACTGTTCAATGCTTCTATGTCTCTGGATCTATTTTGTTCATAAGTTTATGTCATTGATTATATTCCACAAATGAGTGGGATCATGTGGTATTTATCTTTCTTCAACTGGCTTATTTTGCTTAGCATAATGCTCTCTATGTCCATCCATGCTGTTGCGAATGGTCAGAGTTGTTTCATTTTTACAGCAGTGCAGTATTCCATTGTGTAGATGTACCACACACAGTTTTTAATCCACTCACCTGCTGATGGGCACTTAGGCTGTTCCCATATCCTAGCTATTGTAAATTGTGTTTCTATGAAAAATAGGGGTGCATATATCCTGATTGTTTTTGGTTTCTTGGAATATATTCCTAGAAGTGGGATTACTGGGTCAAATGGGAGTTCCATTTTTAATTTTTTAAGGAAACTCCATACTGTTTTCACAGTGGCTGCACCAGTATGCATTCCCACCAGCAGTGCACAGGATTCCTTTATCTTCACATCTTTGCCAGTACTTGTCATTTGTTGATTTGTTAATGATAGCCATTCTGACTGGTGTGAGATGGTACCTCATTGTCATTTAGATTTACATCTCTCAGATGATTAATGACTTCGAGTATGTTTTCATATATGTCTTGGCCTTCTATATGTCCACTTTTGAAAAGTGTCTAGTTAGGTCATTTGCCTTTTTTTAATTGAATTATTTATCTTCCTTTTGTTAAGATGTATGAATTCCCTATAAATTTGAGATTAGATCCTTATCAGATATAACATTGGCAAATATGTTCTCCCATGCAGTGGGCTTTCTCATTATTTTGTTGATGGTTTCTTTTGCTGTGCATAAGTTCTTTATTTTGATGTAGTCCCATTTGTTTATTTTCTCCTTAGTTTCCGTTGCCTTAGGAGCTATATCGTAAAGATATTGCTACAACTTATGTCTGATATTTTTCTGCCTGTGGATTCTTCTAAGATTCTTATGTTTTCAATATTACTGTTTCTTTATTTTAATTCATATAAACAATTCGCTGATTTTTTAATCCTCACCAGAGGATTTGACTTTTTTTTTTTTTTTTAGAGAGAGAGTTGGAAGGAGGGAAGGAGGGAGAGAGAAACATCAACATTGTTTGGTTACTTCCTTCTACCCAGGAAAGGGATGAACCTGCAACTGAGGTATTTGCTCTTGACCAGGAATGAACCCGTGACCCTTTGGTCTGTGGGCTGGCACTCTAACCACTGAGAGCAGGACTGATTTTCTTTTTAAAGTATGTAGCCTAAGGCTTTTAAACATAGTAAATTTTAATCTATATTCCCATACCTGAAGTGTCTAATCTCTTTGAGGAGGTTCTTTCTTAATTGCTCTTTGGTAATTGTGGAAACTAAACGGCTTTTATTCAATTTGACAATTTCCCTTTGAGTTAAAGTCCATGATCGTCAATATTAATCTGGTAACATGCTACAGGACTACAGAGGTTTCTTTGACATGGTAAAGATGAGTCAGAGTGATGGTAGTGTGGCCTTGGCACCGAAGGGAATTAGTCACCTTCTGATAGTTGACTGTGATATGCCCTCAGGAGGCATACCTCAGGTTTGCTGCTTGGGTATTTTGAATTTACAAAAATTTCTTAATTATCACTGAAGACCTTTTTCTTGCTACCATAAGTTCTTAGCCATCTCTTTTGTCATATACTTGATGTGTGAGATAAAGTCATATGATGTAATTTTTCATTTTTTAAATAGATTAAAACCCAACTATAATAAGAAAAAACCTTATTGTGCATTCTAAAACCATATGCAAAATTATCTGCATTTTCAGATCATCTTATTTTTATCCAGTTCTATGTACATGCAAAGCAAGAGTAACCAGGAGTATCTGTACATACTACATAATTTGGGTAAAAGCAAAAAGAACTATTGTACACTGTGTAGTTGACTTTTGAACAACAGGGGTTTGAACTGCATGGGCCCACTTACACATAGTTGTTTTGTTTTTTTTAAACAGACTATAAATGTATTTTTCCTTCCTTATTATGTTAATTCTTATTTAAATTTTTATAGCTTTATTGTAAAGATACAGTATTAATACATATGTAATATGTGTTCATTGACTATGTTATCAGATTATTTATTTGAGGGTAAGTCAAATATTATATATGTGGATTTTTAACTACACAGGTGATTGGCACCCCTAATCAGCCACCATGTTGTTCAAGGGTCAACTGCATTTAGACATATTTTCAATGGCTCTTCATTCGAAGTTACACTTACTTAGTTAAATCAGTGGCCCACCAGTAGTCTTGTTTCTTCCTCTGTTTCCCCTTGAATATGTTGCTGTGAATGAAGATCCTTTGGGGTAAACTCAGTTTCCTTGTCCTTGTTGCTGAATGAATACAGTTGGTTAGATGGCAGGAACATGGAACTGTATGTGTATGTTGACTGTTTAGCATCGTCACACAATTAGAAGGGAATCCAAGACTAAGCCCTCGGTTCTCATTGAACCACTATCAGTGGGGTGCTGCTCTGGTGTAAGAACACGGACTAGACAGAACACTTCTGGAAGGAGTTTCCAATATGTGAGCTTGACATACCATGCCAAAAGGAGAATTCCAGCAACTGCTCTACATGCATGTTACTGACAAGTTAGAGAATGACGATTTAAGGTGTTTTTCTATAAAGTACAATGAAGACATTTAGAAATACTATGAGACACATTGCTGGACAAAACAGTGGTAGGCAAGACATTTATTCATTTACTATATGATCTCAGTGTAACATGTGCTTACAGTATAAACAGTAAACATACAATGAGTCAAAACTAAACGTTTTTACAATGTACAATACATTAGGTATGTTAATTTGACATGATAAATGTCGCATGTCTCCCAAATGTAACTCCAGGCTTCCTATTTTAATGTATTCAAATACACAAATCAATCTGACCAGAGAAACTAAAACCAAATCCCATTCATTTGTCTTTCAAACTTATTTATACATGTCAAAAGGTTTTAGGCATGTAAGGAATGAGACTTAAGTCTATTTTTAGATGTTAATGTTCTGAACAGACTGATGGGCACTGGGAACACATAAGCATGTTGTAAAATGACTGAAATTGAATGGCTGCTACTGGTGAGAGAGAAACTTTAGAGACAGGAGAATCTGCTTTACATGTCATCACCTGGGTTTTCCCGTCTCATTAATGTTGACCTATGTCCTGTTAAGACTCCTACAATTCCCACACTTTTCTTACCTGTGCTATCAGGGTCAGTGTTAGGTTTGTTAACAACATTTTACTTCTATACAGCAAGACATTTTAGAGCATTCCATATAAAGGTAAATATCAAAAATATCTAGGACAATAAGGAGTTACGCATTACAGTCATTGTACTTTCACATCTGTCTTTAAAATCCACACATTTAGAAAAATATATTATTGCATATGAAACCACAAACAGGCATTCTGAGTTCAGCTCACTCTGACTCAAAACAGTATGTACAGTTCTATGTAGAGTCAGAGTGTGCTGTGGACTCATAACTGGGTCTTTGTGTGAAAGGCCCAGATATACAGCAGTATACACACTCCATGGTTCTCCGTCTCCTCTCTTGGCACAGCCTCACTTGCTGTCTTGGCATTGGCTGTCAAGGGTCTCTCGTGCCCGTGAAGGGGCAACAGAATACATAGGCGATGGAGGCCTGGCCTAGGCCGCTTCTTCAGCAGAGCAGTCGATCCCTGCGTAGGTAAACTTCTCATACAGCGTGGTGTTCACGTAGGTCTGGAAGAACAAGAGTGGCTCAGAGGCGGCCTCAAAGCAACTCTCTGCCGTGCTTTGCTTGTTTCCATTCAAATACCAGGTATTGGGGGGACACTTTGTTGTCCTTGGTTCCTTTTGTATATGACAACTTTCTTTCTGGAATGTACTTTTTGACTTCTACAATAAATGTTCCTCTCACTTCCCCCGTTTCTGAGCTTCCCTTTCTCGCTGTCTTTCACTGGTCCCTCCTGAAGTGTTCCGCTTGCTAAGGCCCCTGTCTCTGCCCACTTCTCACCTTCTGGGCACCCATGTCATCAAACCCACATCTCGTTCTGGTTTAATCACCACTTGGGTTTTGATGACTGTCAAAATCTATCTTCCTAATTTAGATTCACCTTTTAAACTCCAGATTCATATAGCCAGCTACCTTCTAGAAATTTTTATAGAATTCTTGACCCTCCCCATAGTAACCTGCAGACCATGCTCTGGTGTTATCTGCTATGTGCTTTTGGGTCCGTTTCATTGTCTATAAAATTACAGGGTCAGGCTGAGAAGATGTAAGATTCCTTCTAACTTAAATAGGCTAATTTTATATGTTGTTCTGTGCGTGACTATATCTTGTATAGAGCTTTTATTTCCTCCAAAACTGTAACTTAAGGTTGGAGACCACATATTTTGTGTCCCTACAATACCTAGGGCTGTGCCCAGAAGACCTCATTAAATTGCTTCAAACAATTTTTATTAACCACTCTGGGCACATGAGGGATTCCAATGCAAGAGCCCCCGGTTGAACTCCATACTCACCTTCCGTTCTTCTAACATCCGGTTTAAGGACACTAGAATCTGGGCAAATGAGGGCCTCTCATATGGCTTCTCCCTCCAGCACTGTCTCATTAGATCATACCTTTGGAAACAAAGAATTAAAGGGTTACCTTAGTGACTGTGCTGCAGTCCTGGGCACAACCAGGTGCAGAGTATGGAAATAAGAGAAGAGAATGTGGCCATTCAACTCACGGTCATTAAGCTTGGCCAGCGGAAGATGGAGGTTCGGCACTAGGAAGCTCCTGTTAGGCCTCCCACCTCCCTATCCAAGCCCTCTTTCCTCTCCCAGTAGATCTAATGCCCACCCGGGTGCCAGCCTAGGGATCTTGGCCTCAGCTCTTCTGATTAGCTGGAAAGAACTGAGTTATGTCTCTAGGGCAGCATGTTCCTTGGAATATTATATCTCTTAAAATATTAGTGTTTCATTTTAAAAAATGGCTTTAAGCTCAAATAAGTGTGCAAAATTGCCACTTCTGCATATTCCTCTTAGGTGTCAGCTAGTAAAACCTTGAGAAGTCCTGCCATTAAAAACAAGCAAACAGCCTGGCTGGTGTGGCTCAGTGGTTGAATGCCCACCTATGTGTTGGGGAGCACAAGATACTTGGTTGGAAAGTCTGTAAGGAGGATATTCTGAGAAAAGAAGTGTGTGGAAGGACACCTGCCCTGTTTATTGGAATTCTGACTTAGGGGAGACTTAGGGGGTATCGAAGGGAATGCCCCTAATTATTCCTTGACCTTTCCAAACAAGCCTGTACATGTGCAGATCCCCAGGTGTTTACTGGAATCCTTACACTTAATCCCTGGATGCCCTTGCCTAGAGGACAATGTGAACACATGTGTCCTCCCAAGATTACTCACCTTACTGATTATATCGAAATATAAAAACTATAATAAAAGCCTAAGGAGGCAAGCAATTGAGGCTGCTTTAGCTACTAAAGCCCGGGACCCCTTAGCCCTCTCTTGCACAGTCAAACTGTGTCTGAGTAATCTGTTCACCCATTATTCAGGGGCTGCTGGTCAGCCCCAACACCTATGAACCAGGAGGTCACAATTCAATTCCTGGTCAGGGCACATGCCCAGGTTAGGGGCTCGATCCCCAGTGGAGGAAGAGGAGGAGGCAACCGATCCATGATTTTGTCTCATCATTGATGTTTCTCTCTTCTGAAAGCAATAAATATATATTTTTTTAAAAACGAGTAAACAAAAAAACCCTGTTTAACCAGGTTTAGTACAATACTTCCCAAATAGTAGTATAACTGACCCCAGAATTCCTTTCTCTCTGTGTTATTAAGGTCTTGCATGTTCAATAAACATAGCTTGGGAAGCATGGTCAAAGGCAGTACTTTCTCAGATGTGGCCAGAACTACTTGCATTATCAGGATGCAGATTCTGGGGACCTACACTAGACCCTCTGAACCAATGCCTGGGAGTGGGATTCAAGACTTCACATACTGAACAAATGCCCCGGGAACCTAATGTGCACAGACTCTCAGCCACTGGCCTTGGGTGTCAAGGTTCTAGAATAGGTTGTACTTTAACAGAAGTTTCATAACAACCGAAAAAGCTCACTCCTCATGGGATGACTCTCAAAAGGTGGCATTTTGGAGAGTTGGTCCAGTGACGGTTCACATACCACAAGGTCCGCCCAGGACGGAAGAGGTTTGCCTCTTATGCCGGGAACCTAATTACACCTTCTTTCACTCTTGGACACTAAATTGTTTATTCCATCTAGAGCCTTCCACTCTTCAAATTACATCAGTTAGGCAACTTCTCCCTCAGCTAAGCTGTGGGAATTCCAGTATCACTAAAGTTCATCATTTTTGCCTGAGAGTAATTTTTACTATAGGAAGTAATCTTTATAGAAGTGAAATCCCATGAAAGAAAAACCCATCTTCCTTAATATAATGGCTGGAAATTCTATCCCCAAAATTCAACTCAAGATTGCATACATTTACTTGTGAATAATGTCATCAATTTATTTTGGATCTTTCCTGCTTTTGCTGACCTCATCTTCAGCCTTCCCAAGAACTGTCACCTTCAGTGTCTCCTGTATTTCCATGCATGGGGCAGGACGCTCCTCCCCCCTGCCACCGCATAACCATCTTAGGGTAAAGAACCCCATGATCACTGCTCTTTGTGACCTCCATGAGTGTGTGGGTGCATGAAGGTATATGTATATGTACAGGAGATGAAGTGAGATGATCCCTTCACTAAAGTCTGTCTACCCACGAAACGGGAAGCAGGGAGGTGAAGATATATGGCCTAGGACAGGCCTGACTTACACCTCATCGTCACAGTTGAGGGGCTTCTCCAGCCTGTAGCCCTGCGGCAGCTTCTCGTAGAGCTCCGCACACGTCATCCCGCAGTAGGGGGTGCCGCCTGGAAGACAGGAAACACCGTGCCCTTAGCCCCTCTGGGGCAGAAGCCAAGGTCTCCTGCCCAGCAGCTCAGAAGCCAAGAGCCTGGGAGAAGAAAGGGGCATATCGGGGTGCGCACCCAATGTGACCTTCCTCTCTGACATACCCACCGCAGGGCAAAGATCCACGGCCTACTCACAGCTGCTGCTTTCCCAGGTCTGTCTGCACACAGCACACCCATCGTACCAACCTTTTTCCTAACTAGAAGTAGTGATATTACATACTTGTTTTATCTACTCTACAATAGTTACTAGTTTTAAATCTAAAAGCATACATAGTTGTAGAAAACTTGGAAAATATTTAAAAAATATTAAAATATAAAAAAAGCATGAAGAAAAAAATACAATAGCTTTTATTACCCTTCGGTGTAGTCCTTCCAGTCTTTTAAAACTGGGGTCATGATGAATGTGAAATTTATTTTTTGGGCATGCATATTCTCACAGGCTATTCAATGGCCTTCAAAACGTGATTTTTTGCTCAACTACATCGTACCACCTTGACATGGAAATAAACTTGGACGAGCTCTCTGACATCTTTGCACAAGCGGGGACAATTAACCTATAACAAAGTTCACAGTCACCAGGTTGTTAGAGTTACACATGACATCAGATATGGAGAAACATGGGACTGAAACCCTCTCACACGGGGGAACCCACACAGCTGTTTCCAAACGACATCAGGTGGCACCACATACAGATGGTCCCCGTGGGGCCCGCAGTGAGGGAGCACAGGAGGGGCCTGGGAGACACCCGGATACTCACCTAGGCTAACGATCTCCCACAGTAACACTCCGTAGGACCATCTGCGGACAGGAAATGGGAAACCAACCATTAGCATCCTCAGAGAGCTGAAGCAGTCACTGCCCCAAAGCCAGGATGACTGACCCTTCCTCTGAAGAGAGAATGCCTAGTGTCTGCTCGCTGGGACAGGCCATGCGCACAGCACGTGTTTCTCTCCTCCTAGGCCTGGGGGAACTGTATCAGGGAAACGGGGTCCGATCTGCCAGAGCCCCATGTACTTCACGTAGCGAGTACAGGTGGTGCTATGGGAAGCAGGTCCAATTCTAGGCCAAATTGGCGTTAAATCCCACCTCTGCCACCCGATACTCATGCAACTTACTGTCCCCTCAGGCCTCGTCGTATAGGATTCTGAAAATGGGGATGCCAGCTTCTACCTCTGAGCTATGCAGGCATGATGTGAGATAATGCCTCACAGGCGCCCTGCACACTGTGAGGTACAGTAACTGCCAGCCTCCTCCTCACCCCCAGCATAAGGAAATCCTGTGACCAAGTCTCCTCAACCCTCTCTGCCTCAGTTTTTCCTCCTGAAAATAAGGCATGTAGACAAAACGGTCTAAGTCTCAATCCCACTCCTTCCTTCCACCGTCAGCCTGAGCCTTGTCATTGCAGCCCCAAGCAGACGTGGTCTCCCTGGCCTACAGCCCAGCCAGTCCTGACCCTCAGCAGCTATTCTGGGCCTCAGGCACCAAGCTCAGTCGGAAGTGGAACCACAGAGGGCCGGCGAGCCCCTTGCTCCCCTGGACATCAAGCCTTGACCACGAGGTCTGTCCTCGACCAGCAGAAGGAAACCTGACTTCCATCCGTACACTCTGCCAGCTCTGCCTCCATTTAGTCTATGAACTTCTTTACTGAGCAGCTTTGTCCTGGAGGCTGCAAGGCGTACTCACACGTCACTGTTGGTTGTGTAGACGCTGTAATTGAGGGACTCGATTGCCATCCAGCGCACTGGGAGCCGCCCCTGCAGGGAAGGAGGTGAGATGCTCTTAGGCAGGAAGGACCCTTCTGAGGCTGGCTCCCGAGGCAGGGCTCACCCAGGCCCCAGGGAGCCCTGTGTGGAGCTCAAAGACACAGGGAATGTCAGGCTCAGGAGCTGCTGTTTTAATATGTTCCACCTACAATGTGATTTCACATTCAAAGATGTGCAGATGATGTAAATCCTACTTACCTCCAGGTAAGCTTTACATGAACTGAAATGGGTATGCATGTGAGTGTATGTGTACTTGTAGTCATTTATTCCTTTCATTTTTTTCCCCATTAACCCTCACCCAATTATATTTTCCCATTGATTTGTAAAGAGAGTAGAAGAGAAGGAGAGAAGGGAGAGACAGAAACAATGTGAGACACACACATTGATTAGTTGCCTTCCACACCACCCCGACCAGTATTGGGGATCGAACCTGCAACCCAGGTACAGGCCCTTGACCACTGAGCTATGCCGGCCAGGGCCATTCTTTTATTCTTTTATTCAATGTGTGGCCTCAGAGACACTCAGTTTGAAAGGGGAGACAAGGCATAGAAACTGTGGTGCAGGAGGTGGGGAAGAGTTTCCAGAGGAGGAGACTTGGAGCTTGGTTCTGAGATGTGTAGGTGGCAGGCGGCAGGTGGGTGGGGAAGAGAGAGCATGGAAGGCAGGCCACAGGGAGGGAATGCAGATACACCACAAGCGGAGGGAAGGACCCCTAGCCAGAGAGGTTTACCCTGGGTTTGGAGGTAGGGTGAGACCACTCACTCACTCTTTGGGTGCCTGGCCCTGACTCCCTCTCTAGGCTATCCCCATTCTCTGGCTTCCTGAATCCAGGCTTAGAAAAATTAGATGCAGACTAGACATTGGGGAGTGTGGCTTCTGAGGTTTATCCCTAGTTTCCTCAGTTTTGCTCTGATCTGGGGCTCCCTTCCTATCCACCCAACCCAGGGATCCTATGAACCAGAGAGATGCCTGTGCCAGGGACTCGTCCAGGTGCTGGCAGTGGCATTTCAGCCACATTCGCTGGGTGGGACAAAATCAGGAGTCTTTTAGGGGGTCTTCCTCAGCCCCCTGACACTGGAGCAGGCGTCCTCCCAGACCACCCACCTGGGAGCCCAGCCCTGCCCCAGGGTTATGCCTGCAAGCCCAGTTCTCTCCCAGGTCTTTGTGAAGTGACAATATTCTGAACTCTTTCTGCTCAAACATCCTGAATAGTCATTTCATACTTTAAGGCTCAGCTATGGAAATGTCCTTTGTCACATCTACATCTTCAGTACTCTCAACATTCCCTCCTCCCTTCACAGTACATCCCCCCCCCCCAAAAAATATATATATATATATATTCACATATATATCCCCATATGCCCAATGGCTAGTCTAGTTCTCTCCGCGCCCCCCCCCCCCCCCCCCCGGCACAGCTAAGAAACTAGAAAGAGTTCCTACATTCTCTGCTCTTTGTTTCTCTTCCCTGGTAGCTTCTGACCTCATACTTCCTAATTACTAACTTCCTTGTTCATTTTCAGTTTTTCACCTGTTTTGGATCTGTCCATGGCTATCCGTGTCCACTGCTATCACCAAGGGTCAGACCACCGTCACCTTTTACCCAGTGGCACCCACCTCCCCTAAGGGCCTGTTCTCCACACACAAGCAGAGTGCAGTCTAATTGGCAAATACAGCCACGTGGTTCCTTTCCTTAAAATTTCTTAATGTCCCTGTTGCCCCAACATCCCAAATCCTTAGTTGAATCCCAAATCCTTAGCTGTAATTCAAGGTTTTCCAAGAAGACCTTATCCCTTCTTCCTCCTCCAACCTTGAATTTTTTTTTTCTTAAAATATATTTTGTTGATTTTTTACAGAGAGGAAGAGAGAGGGATAGAGTCAGAAACATTGATGAAAGAGAATCATCGGTCAGCTGCCTCTTGTACACCCCCTATTGGGGATGTGCCCACAACCAAGGCACATGCCCTTGACTGGAATTGAACCTGGGACCTTTCAGTCCACAGGCCAACGCTCTATCTACTAAGCCAAACCAGTTTCGGCCAACCTTGAATTTTTAACTCTCCCTCTTTTCAGCATGATGCTCCAGTCATATTGAATTACCTTTGCCTCTAGGCTTTTAGACATACTGCACCCTCCAGATCATCGAATCCATTTTCACATCTCTGCTATCTACTTAATATCCACTGCAACACCCAGCCTCCTCCAGAAAGCCTTCCATGATTTTCCATAGACTCATTGGGTGTGCTTCCTCTGTGTTCCCATGGCATGTGCTTTCCTGGCCCTCAGCATGTGTTAATGATGACAGTTGTTCATTATGTGTTTATCTGTGAGCTCTTTGAAGATGAAGTCTGTGTATGACTGACTTTACCTCCAAACTTAGCACAAAACAATTAGTTAAAAAAAAATCAACTATGAGGGAAAGCATGTGTTCATCAATGAAAAATAAAACCCCTATCAGTACATTAGTTGGAAACACTTCCCATATGAGAATCACCTGAGATTTTTTTTTAATCTCGCATGTACGTGTGCACACACACACACACACACACACATACACACACACAGTGATGCAGAACAACTAAGTCAGCATATCTAAGCAGCAGGGCTCTGCATCTGTATTTTTAAAAAGCTCCCCAGGTGGTTCTAATCTAAAGTGCAATGTGATGTGAAAATCTGACTTAAATGGGCCAGAGAAAGTAGCACTCTGCCCTCTGGTGGTGTATTTCTACATTGCACCCTTCTTGCAAGGAGCTGTAAGCCTCTCCAATCCCTTCTCCTTTCCTCCTTTTCCTTCACCCTTATATCTTCCCTCTCAGACCCCATGCCACCAGAGAACACTACCCTGCCATTAGGAAATAGACTTAAGCCCCAAACAGTACTCTGTTCCTTTAAGAATTCCTCATAATCTCTCCAAGGCTACAGAAATCCCGCTCTGTATAAAATGCCAAGCAAAGCAGCAATCACTTGGACTTCTGAGAGCATCCAAATAAAGTGAATAGGTTATGGGATAACTTGTATTCATCCCTCCACCCACTCACCTAGGGGCCACATCACCCAAATGCAAGAGTGAAGCGAGGAAAGGGATTCTGTGAGGGAGACAGGAGGCACGGGATGGGGCTGGGGGATGTGGAGCAGTGGGTGGTGGGTCCTGCTTCTTTAAGACAAGCCCTGCAGAGAAACATCTGCTCTGAGAGGGACAAATTCGAAAAGTGTAGGGAACAAGGACCACCTGGAAACCTTCCCTTAGGGAGGCACCTGTGGCTTCAGAAGGTGACGGGTTGGGTGGGGTCTCTAAGAGCCAGAGGGACCCCAGTTCAAACCCTGATCAAGAAAGGGAGGGGAGAGGTCCAAAGTGGCTTCGCTCACTGTGACTGTAGCTGTGAAAATGTGGATGCGTGTGGAAGGCGATAAGTAAAAAATAGAAAAGAAGTGTCACGGTGGTGAACTACAGGTCATTTCCTTTTCAAAGCATTCTTGAATCTGGTTTCTGTGTTATCTTGTCAGCCACTAAAATAAGCATTTTGAAAAGAAAGGAAACCTGCGTTTGAGGATAAACTCTGAAACCTGAGCCTGTGGAGGCAACTGGCTAGCCCCAAAGTAAAAAGAGCCTCCGTATCACATGAAAACTGGACCCTTCCCAGGAGCACCACGCCCAGGCAATGCACCAGGCCTGGAAAAGGGAGAGCTAGCCACTGAGGGACCCCACAGGCACATGCGAGGACAACAGGAACGGTCACCCCGAGGCCCTGCAGCCCAGCCTCAGGGGAAGCGGGGGTGGTGGCATGCTGCTAGGGAGACCGCTGAGCCTCCCTGAAGACAGCGGGAATGCTCTTCAGTTACGTTCTGAGCCTCTCCCAGCTAAGGTTCAAGGTTTTCTTCACACATCCCCAAACCAGTGTGTTTGCCCCTGTGCCAGTCAATGCCAGCCCACGGGGAGGGGAGCGGGAAGTGGGGGTATGAGGGAGCACTTACCTGGAGGACAAAGAAATCTACCAGCCCTAAGCCAGGCCCCCAGCATTGGGGAGGGGTGGGGGGGAAACACACGAGGGGAGCCATATTCATCAGTGGGTGCTCCCTTGATGCGTAAGCTCCCTCCCTTTCTCCTGTCCCCCACCTTGTTTCAGTAACTCCTCCCCCTTTGAATCTGTTTCTCCTTATATTTTAAATTCTAATCTGGGTGGTGGGAGGGGAAGGATCAAGAACCTTTTCACCCAAAACACTGGCACAGTATGAATACCAAGGGAGGTAGCATTGCCAGGACTTTCTGATTCCAGGGTGGGCAACAAAAGCAGAATGAGGTCCAACTTCTTACTTCTGCTAACACTGTGGTTAGGTTCTCCCGGGATCAGATGCCAGATAAACATTACTGTTTAGGAGAACGGGTCTCATTAGGTGAACATGGATCTGATTGATTTGGGCTTGACGGGAGCGTGGGGAACTTTTTGCCAAGAGGGAAATCTGTGGCTTTGGGAAGTCCTGAGTTTCTCCCTGGGGTCCTCGTGATTTGGGAACCTCATTAATTGACTTTCCTTATATTTGGGAAATATGCTCCATGTCTCTTTTGCCCCTCCCGTGTTTGCTGTGCATGGAAGGAGACTGTGGGAGCTCCTCACACAGGTTCTGGCCAAATCCAGAGCTAAGCCCTGCACCACGAGGCTCATGTGAGTGAGTACCTGGCCACCTGCGACAGTGGCTTTTTTGCTGGTACTTTGGATCCTCCAGGCATGTTAGGAATCAAAACTTAGAAAGGATGTTTGCTGGGCCAGGCACATAGCTACTGGGGTCCACGGTAGACACCTTGGTCATCGCCAAGCAATGGTCTTAGAGCAGCAACACCAGGATGGGAAGGTGGCTTGGAAACAGAATTGTTGGGTCTATTTGGAACTCACCATCGTCTTTTTCACATAAACTTCTTGACCTCGGGACAGTCCAAAATCGGCTATTTTGGCTACATAGTTTTCACCAACTAAAATGTTCCTGGCAGCCAGATCCCTGTGGATAAACTGAAAAAAAAAAAAAAAAAAAAAAAAAGTCATGCATTTCCAGCATCGTATTTGCTTTCTCAAGTCATTTTGTTAGTACCATGCCCTGGGGGCCAGCATTCTGGGAAACAGCGATGAGAGGTTAGGATGAAAATGGGTTTTTAAATGCCACCAGAATCCAGTTCCCTTGAGGTTGCTCCCTAGAACCCTCAGTGGATTCCACCAAATCTGGGAGACATATTTCATAAACCAGGTCATTAAATCTCCTGTTGCCACGTAAGTCCTCTGCTCTGAGCATTATTTGGGCTAAGACGGGTTAAGGAGCTCCACCAAATATACATGGTGGTATTCACCAAGTAAATATATTCCCAGTGCTGAGCGTTAACAGCTATATAAACAGATGGAATATTAATAAGATTAAAATTAGGGAGACTAAGAGGCATTAGAGAAAAGAGGTGGACTGGGGGAAATATACAAATGTAAACTGATCCTAGAGAGCATTTCCAGGGAAAGACGTCCCTCGTGACATCTTTGTCAAAGTTCCTCGTGACGAACCTGTTTCTGACTCAGGTAGTCCATGCCCCGGGCCACGTCTGCGGCGAAGTGGAGCAGCTGCTGGGAGGACAGCGTGGAGGCGGTGCTGTTGGCGATGGCGAAGGCCGGGTCGGTCTCCAGCACACGGCTCTTGCGCAGGAAGTCCAGGAGGTTGCCATGGGGGGCATACTCAATGGCCAGGTACAGATAGCCTGTGGGGGAAGGGAGAGACACCCCTTACCAGGGGCCTAAAAAGCTCTGAGATGAGCCAGGGCCCTCGGAAATGGCTCATGAAACTTGTCATCTACAAGCAACGTATCTAGTGGGGCCAACCTCGGTACAGCTGGGGCAGGAGGGGGAGCAGTGAGACCTCCTGCCATGCTTGAAGGGTACGACACTGAGACCGCGGTGCCCCTACTCCCCACCCTTCCCCTTTCCCACCAAATGCGGACAACATGACAGCTTCCCGAGTGCTTCCCCCTACTTGGTGGTGGCAGTCTCAGGAAATCAAAGCATTTGTTTCCAGGGGATCTAAGGCAGCCAGTCCGCATCATCTTTTGTTTATTTTTTGTTAACCCTTACCCAAGAATATTTTTTCATTGATTTTTTTTGAGAGAGAGTGAGAGAAGTAAAGGGAGGGAGGGGGAGAGAGAGCGAGAGAAAGAGAAATCAATGTGAAACATATACATCTATTGGTTGACTCCCCCACGAGCCCCAACCAGGGATGGGGATTTAGCCTGCAACTGAGGTATGTGCATGCCTTGACTGGAATCAAACCTAGAACTCGTCAGTTCATGGGCCAACACTCTATCTACTGAGCCAAAACGTCTAGGGCCACATCATCTTTTATTTCTTTATTCAATACTGGTTGGGAACCTAATGATAGCCAGCCATGTTATTTCAGTGTGTCTCTACCATTCTTGAGGTTATTTAAAAAAATAAAACAAATAAAAACCAGGAAACAATGATTACAGATCCATAGCAGAAGGACCCACAGCTGATAGCTTGCTCTCTCTAACCTGCTGCCCCTCCCTAAAACCCACACCAGTCACCTCACTGCCAGGCATTGGGCAGCAGGGCCTAGTGCCAGAGGTTGCATTTTGCTTACAGAGACCAGAAAACCCACAAATAAAAAATGGTTTTTAGAACACATTATGGTTTATTGTCTTGTTTTTTATTTAATTGTTTTTTTTTCTTTTAATAATAATATTTTTGATAAAAACATTGATCTTTAGAGCCAGTGAAAAGTAGCGTGGCTTTACTATCTTTTTAGAGGTAATATTTTTTATATAACTAAATTTAAAATGTTGAATGATTTTGAACTTAAAAGGTGTTCTAAGAAATTAAATTTCTGACAAAAAAAAAAAAAAAAGTCTAGCACTGAATCCTGTTGACTATAAGGAAAGGTATACATAGTTCCAACTATGCCACCCTTCCTCATTTCTGTACTGTAATATAAACCTTAAGAACCAATCAATTACATCCTAATGCAGGGGTGAGGTACCTTTTTTCTGTCAAGGGCCATTTGGATATTTATAACATCATTCACAGACCATACAAAATTATCTACTTAAAAATTAGCGGCTATATTTGGCCAAACCTTTAATTAATTCACCCTCAGTGCCTTGGCAGGGCCAGACCCAATGATTTGCTGAGCCTTCTACGGCCCGAGGGCCGGACGTTCCCCACCCTGTCGTAATGTGACAACAGAGCAAGATTAAAAAGATATATTTTTCTGTTGTTGGTTATTTTATTTTTTTTAACTTTCATTTACTGTTGCCCCATGCTAATGACTGTTTTCAGGAAGTGGCTCAAAAATAAATGTCATTACTCCGATCTTTAACGTAAGGGACATGCTCTGACTTTGAGAATTACACCCTTATTGGATCGCAGAGTGATGTATTGTCTGCCTCCCCAGTATTTTTAGTTTAATAAATTAAGGAAAAGGAAGCAGTCTCTTTTCCATTGTTGGTCTTTTGCTACAAAGTCAACAAGAGGTTGTCAAGTTTGTAAATAATTACTTTGTGGAGCTTTTTTGTAGGAGAAAACTTTTCCACGAGAAACTGAGTGTCAGCAATAGATTCTGAACAACAAACCCAGGTAGCATGCAGAGGTAAGGCTCTCAATAAATATTTAAATTAGTAATATATTAAGTACTCAACAGAAATACTCAGTAAATATTTGAATCAATAATGTAGGGTGAACTTTAAGAGTATGTGCAACATAGGGTAGTTGTCAAGCTCCACTGTGATTGTACAGGAAATTGTACAAATTGAGAAAATAATAAAGCTTATTATTATTATTATTATTATTATTATTTGCCCTAAGTATTATCAAATGCTTACATATTCCAGATTGTTGGCATTCATGGATTTGACATTCAGAACATCAGCTGCATGGGATCGGTAGGAAATGAGAAGATAGACAACTAACCAGAACCAAGGCCTTGCTCTGCCTAGGCCTGGGCCTGGGCTCCGGCAGTGGTAGCTGAGCAAACTTCTGGATTAGTGAGCGCGGGGCATGTGGGAGCCATGGACGCCTTTGGATGGAAATAGCTGAACCACATCAGAGGGCCGAGGACCCGGCCTTAGCTCCCGTCTCCGAAAAGATGCCAAACCTCGGTGCAGCCCACAAATGAGGGATGGAAACTGTAACATAAGGCTATTCTCTTTCCTAATTTCAATGTGGAATTTGCCCGATTAAAATAAATAAATAAATAAATAAATAAATAAATATAAAATTAAAAAAGCCTGTCAGACAGGAAAGAGCATCTTACCACGATGTTCACAGGCTCCCAAGAGGTTGATGATGTTGGGGTGGTGTCCAAGTTTGCAGAGGACCTCCAGTTCCCCCGCGAAGTCCCTGTGGTCATCTTTGGAGGCATATTCTGGGAAGAAGGTCAAGAGTTACGACCCCTGTCTGTCATTCCTCTTCAGAAACAGCCGGCCCCTCCCCCTCCCCGGGGCCCCCAAGTGCGCTTGAGTTCTTGTGCGGGTCTGGGCTGCGGAGAAGCAGTTAAAACCATGAGCAGAGAGAGCTGAGTGCATTCTTGGTGACTGGGCCACCAGTAGGTCTGGAAAACTGTGGAGAAATCAGAGATGGCGCGAAGGGAGAGTACTGTCACTGCGGACTCTTGGGGCTGGGACTGGTGGTGTGGGCGCTGTCCTGTGCATAGTAGGATGTTTCGCAGCATGTCTAACCTCTGCTCAATAGATACCAGAATCCCAACCAAAGATGTACCAGGCACTGTCAACTGCCCCCCCAGGGGGATATCAGCCCTGGCTGAGACCCACTGCACTAACATGTTCTTGGTTATTTGCTGTCAGATGCCCAGGGAAATGCCTCAATGGGGATGGAACCACCTCTACACTTCTGGACTCCAGCCCTTCCAGTGCCAGCTCCACCCCGAGGCAGACGTGCTGGGGAACAGGACCACGTTTCACTGGAAAGTCACCAAGAACGCACACAACTCTCTTTGCTCATGACTTTAACTGCTTTTCCACAACCAGACCTGTGCGAGAACTCAAACCCCACTGACTTTTCGGTAGAAGCTGCTTGGCAGTCAGGAAGCCGACTTCCATTAGTCTCTGGTCTGGCACCTGGAGCAGAGGGGGATCACCAGGCACCAGCCCACTGGGCAGAAGGCCCATTGATGGATGCCCAAAGGGGTCAGGCTCGAGTGGGTGATGGTGCTGTCACTGTGTTTAGACAAAGCACAGGGTGCTGGTGGCGGAGGGCATGAAAACGACGGCCCTGTGTCGTTAGGGTGAGGGATGCCCTAAGACTAATGAGCAGGTGAGCCCGGTCCACACCACAGCAGCCCGTGGGTGGATGCCTTGGGAGCATTTCAGATGGGACGTTCTTTATGTGAGCGTGTCCCCCATTTGAATGTGTCACACACACTCCCTCCTGCCATCCCCCTCAACCCTCCCCGCCCCCCTGCAGAAATTGCATGTCCTGGTCTATTAAGCTATTTCACTTCTTCACACAGGCATGATGTAGATAGTCAGGCTCAGGTCAGATCCCAACAAAAACTGATTTTACAAGATCCTATACCCTCTCTCCCTCTATCCTCACTGCTCCCCAAACTCCCTGTGACTGAGGCAGCAAAACAAAAAAAGGATTCCTGGCAGCTACACAGGGGTGTGTGTGCATGTATGTGTGCCCTGAAACATTACTTTCTGAAAGCATAGTTAATATTTTGCTTTTTTGGTTTTGTTTGTTTTTTTTTTTAAATATATTTTTTATTGATTTTTAGAGAGGAAGGGAGATGGAGAGAGAGATAGAAACATCAACGATGAGAGAGAATCATTGATCGGCTGCCTCCTGTAAGCTCCTCACTGGAGATCAAGCGCACAACCTGAACATGTGTCCTTGACTGGAATTGAACCTGGGACCTTTCAGTTTGCAGGCTGACAGTTTACCCACTGAGCCAAACTGGCTAGAGCTGTTTGTTTTCCAGCAATGCAGAAAGTGATGTGATTGAATAAGATTTAGAGTTAATTCTCATCTGAGGCTCAGTGCTGCTGACCGTAGAGAGCCTTATTATGGAGCAACCCAGCATGACAGTTCCACTCTCGCCCTCACACGCACTGCCCCAGTGGCTGCTGAGAGCTGCTGTTTCCCACAGGGCACCAGTGACTGCCTTCTCAGAAGCCCTTCATTACCCAACCTTGCTAACCGGGAAGCACCAAGGAGGCTTGAGACAAACCGGACTGAAAAATGTAGTTCTTGTCATCTGAGAGGAGTGGTTTTCAAGCTCACGTGTGCAGAAGGACCCCTAAGGAAGTTTAAGGACTTGGTCTCTCCTGCATCGGTTTTGACACGGTCTCTTCTGCTATATTTGTCCCCCAGGAGAGACAAATATAGCAGAACGGGGGCTGAGGGGAGCCCGAGTCCGTGCAGTTCTTACTATGTCTCAAAGAATTCTGATGCAGACAATCCGTGAAACAGTGGTTTGCTAGGTGTGGTCTCCAAACCCTCAGCACCAGCGTCATTTGGGAACTGATAGGAACTGCAGATGCTCTGGCCTTGCAGGAGACTCACTGAACCAGAAACCACAGGGTGGGGCCGGGGGGGGGGGGGGGGGGGGCTTTCTCTGAAACCAGTCATCCAGGGCATTTGGACGCGCTGAATTCTGAGCACCCCTGCCCCAGAGCAGCAGCAATGCTCCCAGAGGTTAGCTGTGTGTGTGTGGCAGAGAATCCGTGTCCTCGCGTCCCAAGGAGCCAGGACGGTGTGTTTAAATAGCTCATCTTCGTGTTTACATCCTGACCCATCACGGGCTGACCTCAAAGGAAACCTCACCTTCGGTCGCACGGAACAGCTGCCTCTGACACGGTGCCAATGTTTTGCTTAAAGAATGCAAGACCTCAGAGGAAAGCTTGGACAGGAAGGCCAGCTTTCTCCACGCCCTGCCGAAATGCTGACTCGATCCGGCCGCGCACTGACCTTTCATCCGCTTGATGGCGGCGTCCATCCGCAAGCCGTCCTTCTTGATGCGCGCCTTGAGGACCTGGCCAAAGTTCCCCTCCCCGATCACATCTTGAAACTTGATGTCGTTCCAGTCGAGCACTGGATAGATGGTGGGATCCGGGCTGTTCTTGGCCTTCCTGTTCAGGGCCAGGGTTCCTGAGTTGAACTGCACAGCTGGCTCTTCCCTCTGGAAAGACATTGTTTTCACGGTGTCATGTCAGGATTTTTAAAACTAATCCTAAGGTTGTATCCACACCAGGCGGACCAAGAAACCTGATTCTAGAATGGAGGTAGAAATGGGTGTTATCTGACAAACCCATTCTGGTGAGCTGCCTATCCACAGAGCTGCCTGGGCGCAACTCCAGGCCTCAGTGGGGAAGCGTGCCACAGCTGGTTAGCAGTGTCTGCACAGAGCGAGGGAAGCGGACTAAGAGTATGTCTGCCATGGCATGGCACGTCCCCGAGTTATTTACACTTGAGTCTGCACACTCATTGCACTCTGCTGTGGAATGAGCAAGTGTTCAGTCCTGACTTGAAAAACAACTCGACTCTCTGTGGCATCACAGGGCATGCCTCAGAGAGAGCCTTCCTAGCATTACCTTGGTCTATTCTGGGTCCTCCCTCCCTCTTCTTTCCCTTTATCCCTTTCTTCCTCCCTCCCTCCCTTCCTCCCATTTGTCTTAAAGCTTAGACTCTCCCAGGCCCACTTGTGGAGCAGACTGGCCGCAGGATGGCTGGGGCTTAGAGCAAAGCCCAGCTCAGGGATCCTTTTCTCGAGTGTAAATCGCTGCTCACTGCGTCCTGATGAGTTCCAGCTCCGCTGACCCCTTGTGGTACTGCCTCCCCAGTGAATGCCTGAGTCGAGCCACTCCAAGTCAGGTCCCGCCGCTTCCTTGTCCCCCACCGAGCGGAACCTCGGGGACGTGTGCACATCAAGACACCCCTCCCTGGGAACGTGCCATTGCACCCCATGGTTCATGTGCAGAACCTACAAAGTTGGGTGCAAGTTCATTTTACGGGACCTCACACCACAATCTAGAGTGCTGTTCAGGCTGTGGCATCCCAAGGGACACGAGTGCATGTCTGCTAAGCCTTCGCTACGGCTGGTCAGGAATCCCAGATGGAAGAGAGTCCGTGCCAAGGTCATGCACCGTGACTGCAGACCCAAGGGCACGCAGGAGCAGGAGAGGCCCCCGTGTATACCATCCATACACATACAGGCGCGGAGGGATTGAGGAAGATACTGACACAGGAAATGGGAACCGGAAATGGAAAAATGTGGGGGAAACCTGTCCCATGCAGCACACACCATTACCTGGAACATAGGTCTGCCCACCCTCATGTCCTTCCTTTACCAAAGTGTCCAGTTCTTTATATGGCAAGCTCCTCTCTCCCATGACTTATCACTCAAACGATCATACACCTCATTTGGCAGGGCACCAGTCCTACATGAGGCCTGGTAACCCGTTTAAGTATTAAGAGTAACCTCTTTTGCTCTCAGAATGGTTCCGGTTTGGGCAGGAAACCCCATGGCTATGCTATTGTCTCCCATTTAGTCATGGAAGCCAAAGAGAAGGCGAGACGCGCCTCGGGGACACGTGTGCAAGGAAACGGCCCCGGGGCCCACGTGTGAAGGGAAGGGTCCGCCTGTGTGTGGCCGGCCCCTGGGAGCGGGCGGGAAGGGGACGCACCACGTTCTGGAAGGCCTGGGCCATCCTCCTCTGCACGTGGGCCCGCTTCAGCTGCAGCACGATGAGGAAGGCCAGCAGCACCGTCAGGCAGGTCATGCCCGCCGAGCCCAGGATGGCGATGAGCAGCATCTTCCCGCCGCCGAGCTCCGCGGGCGCTGCGTGGGGAACATAGGACGGGCAGCGGGGTTAGTTCCCACAGAGCACGGCCCCCGGCCCCGGGCCCCGCCCCCGGCCCCCCGGGGGAGAATCGTGGTGAATGAGGCTCTGAGCCATGGCATTGCTATGTGGCCTGGGGCTACTCATTTATTTTCTGGAACTCGGTGGAGATGAGTCTGATTCATGGGGTTGTCTTAAGATCCTATAAAAAAAAAAAAAAAAAAAAAAAAAAAAAAAAAAAAAGTGTGCCCTGACCAGCTTGGCTCAGTGGATAGGGCATGGGCCAGCGGACTGAAGGGTCCCAGGTTTGATTTCGGTCGAGGGCATGTACCTTGGTTGCGGGCACATCCCCAGTGGAGGGTGGGCAGGAGGCAGCTGATTGGTGTTTCTAACTCACTATTCCTCTCCCTTCCTCTCTAGAAAAATCAATGAAATATATTTAAGAAGTACAAAAGTGTTTTCTAAATGGCAGTGTGCTCATCATTAGTCATTGTCATTTGTTCAAGTTTTACTTGCGAGTAGAGGCCCCAGCTGATGCGCATGATCCAACAGCAGTGAGAATGGCTGACTAGATGCGTGACTTTGGAAAGGGACGAATTCCCCCCCTCCACCTCCCACCCACATTCTCCCCTCTTGGTAAAGCTCATGATGCTAGGAGCTTAGAGTCTTCAATAAGATACCTTGTTGTGTGTTGTTTGTTTGTTTGTTTGTTTGTTTAAAAAAGCTGATGGAGAAAACCTGAGGATACCAATGGGAGAAGACAGGAAAGGAGGAAAAAACAAGGGAGGGAGGGAGGGAGGGAGGGAGGGAGGGAGGGAGGGAGGGAGGGAGGGAGGGAGGGAGGAAGGGGAAAAATGATTAAACTTATGGCTCGAGTCAGAATAAACTATTAAAGGCTAAGGTCTAATCCTGCCACTTCTGTTCTTTATTTAAATTCAAATAAATTAAATTCCATGTATTTTTATGAAAAACAGCATGTAGGGCCTGCCCCATATTCCTACAAGATTCTTTTGCAATCATATCTTTTCTTCTATCTCTGTGCATGTGTGTAAAGAACTATCTGGAATGGAGTGTTGAGGGATGTTTTGTTACACCTTGTTTAATTTTTCTGTTTGCATTTCATGTGTGACTTGTATACATTTTGCTAAAACACAAGCAAGTATAAAAATTATGCATTTGTTAAGGATGTGACTGCAAAACCGTAGTTTTCTAGTTGACAGATTCATCATTCCTCTGACATTTCAAAAATGTTCCAAAGAATCAGCATTGAAAACATAGCCTATTTGATCTTATTTTTTTAAGCTCTAAGTATCCCTGAAGAGAAGCAAGAAGGGGTTTAGTGTTAAAAGATTTTCTGTAAAAATAAACTCTATTCCAAATGCTAAATTTTCAAAAATCACCATTCTTTCTATCTCAGCCCCTTTGCGCGTGTCACAAACACAGGAGACCGGGAAGTGCGACTTCCGATAAACGGCAAAGGGAAGGCGTCCACACGCTGGGCCACCGCTCTCCCTCCAGCCCCCACCTTTGTTTGCTTAATTACATTCACAGGTTTTATCCATCACAACCCCTGGACCCAGCGTGCCTGGCACTCGAGGGATCTCTCCATCTCCAGCTCACTCTCCCTGGGCGAGGGGTTAGTGGCAGCCGTGTAGACATAATAACCTGGATCCAAAAAGTAGAAGAAAACTCAGAAAAGCATAGTGTCATCCAGGCTAAAAGAGGAGTTCATTTTGAGAAAGAATGGAGTGTGGTTCTTGGAGCCTCCTGCAGAATCACCACACAGTTCTGTCCTCACTACACAGGGTCTGCGGTCTTCTTTCCCCACAGAATCAAGGTCACATTCCTCAGAGCTCCAGTCACTGGATGGGGAAGGCTGATAGGCTAGTTCAGTCTAAGGTTTCTCAAGAGGCAATAGAGCATCAGGGGACATTTTCACTTTAAGGACCTCTCTAGAGATGGGGAAGCTTATTAGGACTAATGAATTATGTCCCATGATACACATATAGGCTAACTATCTTAAGACAATGGAGCTTTCTGATCCTCTCCAGAAATAATCCTTTTTTTTAAAGTACATTTTAATTGATTTTTTTACAGAGAGGAAGGGAGAGGGATAGAGAGTTAGAAACATCGATGAGAGAGAAACATCAATCAGCTGCCTTCTGCACACTCCCTCCTGGTTATGTGCCTGCCACCAAGGTACATGCCCTTGATTGGAATCCAACCTGGGACCCTTGAGTCTGCAGGCCCACACTCTAGCTACTGAGCCAAACCAGTTAGTAATTCCAGATCCCACCCGCTCTACCAACCTTGAGACTTGGAGAGAGTTGTCAGCTCATGTGAAGCAGTTGGGTTGCTGGACCCTATGTTGTTCTCTGCAAAAATGTCCACCTGGTAAGGTGTTTGGGGCTCCAGGCCCTTGAGCTGATAGCGGGTGATAGTGACATTCTTGATCTTTACATCAATGTGCTGATCTTCATTCTTGCCCTGAACCTTGTAACGGATGATAATAGAAGAAATAGAATAGCCATCCACGATCGTCCAAGAAATCATGGCTGAAGAGTCTGTGATGTTGGAAATCTTGATGTTTTCGGGTTGAGGAGGGAGAACTGTAAATTTAAGAAAATAATAATATTTCACTTTAAGATATACTACCGTCTTTTAGATTACTATGTTTCGAGAGTTAATGTCAGCTCATAAACTGAGAATGGTTAAGAGGTGTTTTCTCAAAAGGTCAGTCCAAAGAGTTGGTAGCGGACACCATGCGGATTGGATGGAGTAACACAACATGGGAAGATAACACATATATCACATGTTCATCATCCTTACACTAAATTAAGGCTGCAGAAATTCCATTACTCCAAAAACCTATATTATGCTGCTCTTTATTCTGGGGAGTGCAGAAAGATTACGAGAGCTGGCATTTATATGGGCTCTTCAACCCAGTAACTCATTTTATCTTCATAACATTCTTACCATAAGTATTGAGGCCCAGAGAGGTTAAGTGATTTGGTGAAGGTCACACAGTTATTAAAGAGAAGAAATAGGATTGAACGCCTGGCAATCTGATGCGATAGTCTGTAATCAGCCACTGTCCCTTAGAACCCATCCCTGCCACAAAGGCATTTAAGGAGCAGTAGCAAGTCAGTGCACACATAAGACAATGTGTTAGGCACTTTGTAAACAAACTGCTATCGACATGTGAGGAAAAGAGAGATAAAGTTCCATTAGGGTCATAGGAAGGATGAGAGAGGTACTCTGAGGCTTCCCAGATGAGGAGATGCAGAGTCCTTCCTGCAGGCCCACTCCGGCTCTTTTCAAACAAAGACAAGCACAGGCCAGGAGGGAACTCTGTGACGCGTCAAAGCCTGAAACGCTTTGACTCAAGGAAAGAAGGACTCCAAGGTCCTTGATGTTAACTGTGCCTCCCCTTCGTGAGGCTGTTTACAAGGTGCTTCCGTGCTAAGGCGCTCCCTCGACCCTAAAACCACTCAGGCAGGCAGATAGCCAATGCTGAAATTTTAATTATCCCAATTTCAGCAGCAAGAGAACTGAGACTTCAAAAGATATGGGACCTGCACTGGTCCTAGTACACAAGGAAGAGACCCAGGCCATTCACTCCATATAAAAGTTATGGTTTATAAGCAAACTAGAACCTTCAAGAAATGTCTTGCTGAAACCGGTTTGGCTCTGTGGATAGAGCGTCGGTCTGTGACTAAAGGGTCCCAGTTGAATTCTGGTCAAGGGCACGTACCTTGGTTGCAGGCACATCCCCAGTGGGAGGGGTGCAGGAGGCAGCTGATCGATACTTCCAATTCTCCATCTCTCTCCCTTCCTCTCTTTAAAAAAAAAAATCAATAAAATATAAAAAAAAGAGAAATGTCTTGATGTACATTTGTTCTATTTTGTATTCTTTGAGATTTTTATCCTTTCTAAATTTTCTCTCTCCCTGACATGTTGATTCCCATGTCATACTCTTATGTAACTGTGGCAACAACCTGTGAGAATCTGGAAGTAGATTTTGAGCCTTCAAAATCTGATTGTCATTTTCTATGTCTAACAGGTGGTGAATTATTCAAAATCACAATTAATTAATTAACAATATGTCTTAACTTTCTTTGCATCCGGTACCAAGCTTTTTGTAAATCTTTGCAAAAATATAAAATAACCTTCCTCCCACAAGGGATGACAGAGTAGTAGGAATATTAACACTTTCAGATTACTATGAACACATATTTAGTATTTGTATTAGTTGTGCCTCAAACAAAACAAAACAAAAAAAAAACCACCCTCAATTCTTAAGCCAGTGGTATGCTAAGCCTGTCACCAAAAGAAGCAATACTTTGAAAACACCTGCTGGAAGAACAATGACTATAATTTTGGTGCCAATTAAAAGTCATAAATAAATTTGCATGTGCCATTTTATCTACTTGATGCCTGAGAGAAGTCTTGGGATCACTTAGTGGACCTCTGATTCAGATCCAGTAAGTCTGAGCCCAATAATCTACATTTTAGCAGATCTTCTGGTGACTCTAAAGTATATTCTGAAACACTTTAGAAAAAATACTATATAATTTCACTTAAAAGTGGAATCTAAAGAAAAAATTAAATGAAAAAAATAGAAACAGAATCATACAGAGAATAAACTGATGGTTGCCAGATGGAAGGGGGTTGGGAAGATTGGGCGAAATAGATTAAGGGAATAAGATGTACAAATCAATAGTTATAAAGTAGTTATGGGTATGTAAAATACAGTATAGGTATAGTCAACATTTGGAAATACATCTGAAACTAATATAATATTTAATACCAACTCAAATTGAAAATTTAAAATAAAATACTTTAGGAAATGCTAACCAGATTATAAATGATTTAGAAATTGCTGAAGAAGATTTTCCAATAACTGATCTTGCTTTGAAGCATTTGGTTACCCATCCAAAGAGACAAATCAGTAGAATGGCTTAGCAAAGTAAATAAACAAAACATAGAAACGTTAATTTAGAATCCTGAGGCCCTGGGTTATGAGCTGTAGAAGTCTGGTCCAGTTACTTTCCCTCCTCTGAGTGTCAGGTACCTATCTGTTAAATGTGATGATAATTCCTATTCTAGTTTCCTCATAAAGTCACTGAAAGTGTTAATGATGTACTCTATATATACAGGAACATATTACACACATTTATTATGCTTCCCATATGTGTGGGGCCATATACTACATCTAATTCATTTCATTCCTTTCATTTTGGTCCAAATGGAATTGCTAGGGTGGGCACCAACATAAACTTTAAATTAGAAGCATTCATTTGACTTCTGAACAGCCTATATGCAACATAAGCCAATGACAACATAGCATATTAACAAATATATCAGGTAAGACTGAAATGTTCTCATCCATATCCTCCTTGCCCTAATTTCCTGACCCTGTAGGGACCGGCTCCTACCCTGCCAATGTCAGCATCTCCAGCATCAGCATAATCCCCACCCTCACTCCTACCAAATGCACACAAGGCAAATCCTTTTTTTTTCACTGATTACTAGCCAGCTTTTATTTCATTCTATAAATATGATCATTACAATGTGATTTGATAGTATATAATTGTAATGAGGGTAAAATTTATACACAATAGTGAACGAACATCTAAGACAGTGGTCAGCAAACTGCGGCTGATGAGCCACATGCGGCTCGCGAGCTGTGGTTTGCCGCTCTGTTGACTGAGTTTGGCAAACTCATTAGTCAACAGAGCCGCAGTGTGCCGACCACTGATCTAAGACAATGTTGAAAAAGGAAATAATGATTCACCCTACAGTTATCAAAACATTTAATAAATCCATAGTAATTTAAACAGATGGAAATGGTACAGGAACAAACATGCAGGTCAGCGGAAGAGAGAACAGAGTGCCCAGAAACAGAAGCAAAACCAATGTGAGAACTGGGCGTCAGATACAGAAAGCATCACAAGTCACTCATGGGACTACTCAATATATGGCCTTGGGACCACCAGCTTGCCATATGTGAATAAATACAATGGAAACTTAAAAGATTGAAATACACTCTTCCCCCAAATACATCCCTATATCATAAAAACCTAAATATGAAAAAATAAAACACTACAACTACTGAGGTAGGAAATAATTTCAAAAAGTACAAACCACAAAGGCAAATATCAACAGGTCTGATGACATGTAAACTGGGTGTAGCGTAAAAAACACCACGTACAAGGTGAAAATAAAGAGATCAGGAGAATATAATTGCAATGTATGTAACAAGATTAGTATCCAAATTATACAAACAACTTTAACAAATCAGTAAAAGAAGACAACCAAGACCAGGGGCAAAGTTGTTGATAGATCAACAAATATATCAAACAAGAGGAAATCTAAATGCCCCCAAAATGCCCAAGTTTAATATAAACTATTATGCAGAAGTTAAAAAAGCATAAGTCAGATCTAAGCAAATTAACAGAGACAGATAAAATAATGTTTATTCAAAATAGCAAGATAAAGAATAATATGTATGCATATGTACATTATTGATATATCGAATGTATTAAAATTCTACAACATTGAGTGGAAGGTACATAACAAATTCAAAATCTTGTTGTCTCTGGGAGAAGAGAATAGAATCAGAGTAGGAATGATGGCCAAAGAGGATTTGGTATATCTGTCTTACGTTATTAGTTCCACAAATCAACAAAAAAAGCTGACAGTAAACATGACTTAATATTAGCAGTTGTTACTTGTGGCCAGTAGGAATATATTTGTTGTATTATTCTCTGCACTGCGCTGTAATTTTTAAATTTCAGAGAATTTGTGGAAAATGATGGAGACTCCCTAAATACTGACTACAGTTGAGATGCCGACACCACTGATAAAAGAGGAGAAACACTACATGGATGGAAATGGAGAACATTATGCTGAGTGAAATAAGCCAGTCAATGAAAAAAAAAAAATACCACATGATCTCACTCGTTTATGAATAATAAAGAACATTATAAACTGATGAACAAAAAGATACAAAGACAGTAAAGCATCAAACAGAATGTCAAATTATAACAGGAAGACTAGGGAGAGGTGGGAGAGAAAAGAAATCAACCAAAGGACTTTGTATGCATGCATATAAGTATAACCAATAGATGCAAAACACTGGGGGGTGGGGAGTGAGAGCACTTATGGGAGGGGGGGGCAATGGTAAGATATGTACACATATAATAACTTATTTTTAAAAAATGGGGGGGGGGGAAGAGGAGAAACACTGAGGCGGGTGCGACAGCTGATACTGAGGAAGCAGAGGCCCTAATAGGTGTGAGCCTCGGACTCTGGGAATGGGTGAGGGACCACACATCCTGGCTGAAGTGATTGCCAGCGTGGCCAAAAAATATCTGACCCTTCCAAGGCCTCCAGATGCACAGACATCGTCCTAAAGCCCTGAACTAAAACAGAACTCTCTGCTTAATGATGAAACAGATTTGGGTGCCACAAAGAAAGCCGAGAAGTTGCAACTAATTTTAAATGACCAATCTGAAATTAAGAAAAGCCTAATTTGCAGAATATTTTGAAAGAAAAGTCATATTCTTACTTTCAAATATATATATTGTGGCTCAAAATAGTCTGTTAAGAATATTTGTTAAGCAAAGTTATTTGGCTTTTATGGTTAAGGAAGACTCATCTACAATTAATCATCATCTATGTACATATAGATACATGATTATCCTGAAAGCTGTCCTATGGCAGATTAAAGGAGCCTTAGAAAACGTTATTCACGGTATTGATTTATTTAATAAATCACTCTTCTAAAGAAAGGTAAATTTCAGCACAGTCCTGCCTGAAATTATTGCAAATCCATTTACATGGAGCTTTATGTTTCAGGATACTGATTAGCCTCCATTCCCAACTAACTGCCTTTTATGATTTCTAAGAAATATCAGGAAGTGATGATTGCTAAGTCCAAATGACAGTGGTCAAAATTCACTCAGGCATGGCCAGTGTGGCTCAGTGGTTGAGCATTGACCTATGAACTGGAAGGTCATGGTTCGATTCCCAGTCAGGACATATGCCCGGCTTGTGGTGTTCCCTAGTGTGTGGTGTGCAGGAGGTGGCCAATCAATGATTCCCTCATCTCTCCCTCTCCCTTTCTTTCTGAAATTAATAATATATATATATATATATATATATATATATATATATATATATATATATATATATATTTTTTTTTTTTTTTTAAAGTCATTAAGGATGACCAGGGCAGCAGGAGTCACTTACTGTCGCTGAGAGTCCAAGCGGTGAGGTCTTCACTCCATTCCCCCTGGGCCTTGGTGTTGACTCTGGCTCGAACTATGTACTGCTCCCTGGGGTGCAGGTTGTTAAGTAACACAGATGTCAGGTTGCCTGGCACTTTAATATTCTGCTGATCATTACTCATCTGCACAGACCTCCTCTCTACTTCCACATAAAAGTCATCTTCGGAGCTTGAAAATATTGGTTGCCAGGTCAAATTTAGAGTGGTCTGACTTTTCGGTAGGAGACTGAGACCTCTTGGAGGAGGGAGACCTGGGGGAAGCCACAAAGATCGTTATTTTTATCCAAGGTAAAGGTTACAAACAGCCCCAAAGGGCAGCTTTCCAGAATAACCTTGGCTCCTAGAACAATATGCTACAATTCACAAGCTATCACATAAGCACAGGCTTGCAGCCATGCAACACTATTTTCCTACCAAAGTAGAAAACCTTAAAATTTTTCTAATAGCAGATTGGATAATTATAATACAAGACTACAACCCATTTGGAGAACAATTTGGGAATATTTTCAAGTGCCCTAAAAATTATACATACTTTGGCCCTATAATACGACTTCCAGGGATTTACCCCAAAGAAATAATCCAGCCCAGGCCAGGTACTCAATGGTTAGAGCATCATCCCTATATACCCAATTGATGCCCCCCCCCCGTGTGTGTGTGTGTGTGTGTGTGTGTGTGTGTGTGTGTGTGTGTGTCTTAAATCAATAAATTTAAGTAAATAAATAAATAATCCAAAAAAGATGAAACCTATATTCATGAAGATGTTCATTATAGCATTATTTATAATAGCAAAATATTAGAAGAAACCGAAATACTCAAAACAGGAAAATGCTTTAATAAATCATGACATAGCCATCCAATGGATTAAAATAGATAATAGAGGAAAGTATGAAAACCCAATAAAATATTTATAATACATGAGGAGAAGTCTCATTGCAACTTTGAAAAGGTCATGTCTACAATTGGTGAACGATAGGAAGGAAACTGGTAAACATGAAAACAGTGGATTTGCCAAGTTTATGCGTTTGTAGGTGAGTATTTCTCTTAATATTCTAAGCATATTTTAAAGCAATTTGGGGATTACTTCCTCTTAACAAGGAGAATTTAGTCATAGCAGCTGTGGTGGGAGGGCCAGGGTAGCCCTGCACTGATCACACAAAGGTATGGGTTCTCAGCACATGCTGCCCAGCCATAACTACCCTCAGGAACTTGGACCACTGGAGAAGCTAGAAAATGGAAACAATATGGGTTTTGAAATCAGAGAGATAAGAGCATGCCACCTTAGTCTTGTGACCCTGGGAAAATTGACAACCTCTCTAAGTTCACATGTAACCCAAAATGAAAATACCCATCTTCTAGACTCGAGGAGTAAACGAGAAAATGGATGTGAAAATGCTTAGAATATACTTGATGCTCCATCTTCATGACTTCCTTCTCTCTCTTCACTGCTCCCACCCCCATTCCTTCTTAAAATGTCTTATCATGTGTCAGTGGACAGAAGAGGAATCTGTGTGTTTTCAGTTAATAATACTAAACTGGTTTTTAAGTTTCAAATATAAGTTATTTTTAAAACATAGAATAGAGATCCTCTAATTCATGTATTTATTATTGTCCCAAAGGGGGCAAAAACTGGTGCTTAGAGTGTGATAAAATTTTAGATACTACAATGGTTTATGAAGGGCCACGATACACTATAAACAAATTCACGGTATTAAAATTCATGGCAGGGCCTGGCCAAGGTGGCTCGGTGGTTGAGTGTCAACCTATGAACCAGGAGGTCACAATTTAATTACAAGTCAGGGCACATGCCCACAATGCAGGCTCCATCCCAGTAGAGAATGTGCAGGAGGCAGTGGATCAATGATTCTCTTTCATCATTGATGTTTCTCTCTCTCTCTCTCTCTCTCTCTCTCTCTCTCTCTCTCTCTCTCTCTCTCTCTCTCTCTCTCTCGTTTCTCTCTCTTCCTCTCTGAAATCGATAAAGATATATATTTCTTTAAAGTTTAAAAAAATCATGGCAGAGGAGACACTGGGACAAAATAGTCATTTTTTTCTTAAGAACAAAAATATCTAAAATCTCCTTAGGGGGCAGTAATTATAAAAGTGAAAGTAAAAGGTTGAGAAACACTGCTCAGTTGGTTGGAAGTGGGACGGAGGATCTATATCTCTTCCCTGGGAGAGTGGCTCTCACCATCCGCTCTGGCTGCTCTCCGACTACAGAGAACCCACAGGCAGGGCCTGCAGCTTGCCTGACATCATGCTGCCATTCTGACTGGTCCTTTCTCTACAAACTGCAGATTGAGAGAGGTGATGTCAACTCCTTTTGCTCATCTCGAAAGCTTAAGTTCCAAAATAAGCCACCCAGAGTGGTCAGGCAGACTCACAATCCCCACGCATACAGAAGCTTGATGCTTGGAGCACACTTGTAAACCTTCTAAGCCCATGCCTGGTACAGAGGAGTAACTCATTAAATGGCCATTTCCCCTTTTTCTTTCCTTCAGGAACATGACTTACCCTTCACCCCTCCCTACCTGTCCTCTGCACCATGTGTTCCATCAATCCACCCACACAGTTATAAATTGTGCAGCTGCCAGGTGAATTAAAAAACAAGCATCAGCAAAATTCAAATGATGGGAACAGAGCCTTCAAAGATTCCCTTCCTGTCTACCCTTGAAAACTACTTTTAAATATTGCAAGAGACCTCTGAATCCATCTTGGCTGGAACATATTCTGAGTGCTGAGTTCTGCGGCATCAACCTGAGCATGTGCCAGGGTGCTCTTTGCTCATGAAGAACCCTTTGTCATCTAACTCTGTGGTTGGCAAACTGTGGCTCTCAAGCCACATGTGGCTCTTTGGCCCCTTCAGTGTGGCTCTTACACAAAATTCCACAATATGGGCGAGTCTATTTTAAAGAAGTGGCATTGGGAGAAGTTTAAGTTAAAAAAAAATTGGCTCTCAAAAGAAATTTCAATCGTTGTCCTGTTGATATTTGGCTCTGTTGACTAATGAGTTTGCCGACCACTGGGTTAGTGGGTCGTCCTAATACACCAAAGTTATGGGTTTGATCCCCATTCGGGGCACATACCAGAATCAACCAGTGAATGCACAAATAAGGGAAACAATAAATCTCTCTCTCTCTTCCCCCCTCTCTCTCTCAGCAACAAAGAGGAATATTGCTGCATGAATTACTTATCAGGGGTGGGGAACTTTTTTTTTCTGTCAAGGGCCAACTGGGTATTTATAACATCATTCATGAGACATGCAAAATTATCAACTTAAAAATCAGCCTGCTATATTTGGTCAAACATTTAATTCACTCACCCCTAATGCCTTGGCAGGGCCAGACCTAATGATTCCTCTGGCCTTACACGGCCCCTGGGCCAGCGGTTCCCCACCCCTGATTTAGGTCGTGTGGCCCCAGGACCAGCACCACCTGCAAACTTCCCAGACGAGCAAACTCTTGAGCTGCAATCCCCATTCCCAAACCCTTGAATCGGAGACTCTGGGGTGGAACCCAGAGATCAGTGGTAGCAAGCTCCCCAGGAGACTGTGATGGAGTCAAAACCCTGACTGGGAAACATGGAGGTGTAGGCCCTGAGAAACAGCTTAAGGAGATAAAAGCAGCTGCAGATAGGAAGCAGGAGGAGGAGGTGGAGGGGTGAGGTGGTGGCTGCTGTTCTTTAGATAAAAGCCTTTCATCTTATTTGATGTTTTAACTGTGTGCATGCATTACTTTGAAAAAAATTAAAAATGTCTCTCAAAAGTAAACAAACTTGATTTCTGAAGCCTGCCTGTGGCAAGAGCCCGGCCGGGGCCCTGAGGATGGAAACAGGAAACCATTGGTAGGACTCGGCAGCCAAGGCTCCAGCTCAGTTGCTGCTAAGTACATCGCTGCTCCTGAGGGATGTCTTGCCTTCCTGAAGGCTCATCTGCTTCCTTCTGGGCTCCTGCGGCTTGCCACCGGCCCCCTCCCCCAGGGAGACAGAGCAGCGAGCAGCCCAAATAAAGGGCCGGCTTGGCTCCAAGTGGCTACCCTTCCTGTCACTTTCCCACCCATTCAAAAGCGAACCCCTTCCACCTCCATCCCCACCCACCCACTCACCCACCACCACCCTTCCTGCTCTTCCTTCCTCCTTCCCCTTCCTCCCCCTCCCAGCCGGCTGGTGCATGAAGGCTGTGTGCTCCCACTGACCGATGGAAGCTGTGGTGAACCGTCGCACGGGTCCAGGATGCCCTTCCCCGCCCTCTCCACGCCGCACCAGCTGCACACAGAGCTCGTATTCTGTCCGGGGCTCCAAGGAGTTGAGTGTAACGATCTCGCTGGTCACTGAGGAGAGGGAAAGGGCAGGACACTTAGGTTGGCATCTGGTTACATTCTCTCACCTGGCAGGTTGCGACTGTGATAGGAACTGCTGTTTGGCCTTTACAAGAACAATGTCTTCCGTCTCAATTCCAATAATGACAGGCTGTTGTTGTTGTTCCTTGTGATGAAGCCCCTAGTGCAGTGCTTGGCAAACTCATTAGTCAACAGAGCCGCAGTTTGCCAACCACTGCTCTAGTGAAACTGATGGAAGAGGCAGTTCCATTGTCGGGGCCCCACTGTCCCTAATACAAGGGAAATGAGGCTTCTCAGGGAAATCTCCAGGCTGCAGGGGGGTCAGGAATAGAGGTACATCTCTGCTGCTTCATCATGTCTGCTCTAGTCTTTGCCTGTGTAGAGTAAAATTCCAAAATCACACAGATCTTCAACTCTATGAAATGCCAATCTGATTTAAGGGAGAAAGATCTCAATTTAGAATAACATAAGGAATTTAATTTCGACTGTTTTCTAGTCCAGGCAGTGACTGCAAGCGAGCTTCCAGAAGAGAAAGCTCAGGGTTTGTTCGCAAGGTCAGAGGGTAGCCTTGCCCACATCGTTACAAAGGAGGGGTTGTAGGGGGTGCTTTATCCTCAGCAGGGGGCTCTTCTCCCCAGACCCTGCCAAGGGAGATTTCACCTCGCCAACCGGTAAATTCCCAGCTAGGGAGGAAAAAGTGGGCTGTGCTGAAGAGTCCTCAAAAGATCATGTTTTGGATGTCTGCTTATAAAGAGAGACTCTGAATTTTTACCACCATGTTTTTTAAAAGCTTTTGATAAAACTTAGACATTGGTGCTGGAAACAGCAACCCCACAATTCAGCCTTACCTTGCTCATATGTTGAATTTGAGCTGAGTCTACAACAGAATGTGAAGAGCTCAATAGTAATCCCATGACGTTATTCGGCATACCCAGATCAGCTAGTGTCACCAAGCCCAAATCCCCGCTTTCCTTCTCCTTTTTTGTAACTTCCTTGCCCTTTCCTGAAGGCCACGGGCACCATGCAGTGGGTGCCAGTGGAGGGTGTGTGCTGCCTGCAGCACGACCTGCCAGGTCTCTCTGCAGGATGGCACAATAAAAGCAGCAGCATCAGTAGATAGTGCTCAGCTTCCTTTTTAACAATGGTGATCATAGCCCTGACTGGTTTGGCTCAGTGGCTAGAGCACTGGCTTGTGGACTGAAGGGTACCAGGTTCTCTTCCAGTCAAAGGCGGGAATCATGGTTGCGGGCACATCTCCAATAGGTGACGTGCAGGAAGCAGCTGATCAATGTTCCTAACTCTCTATCCCTCTCCTTTCCTCTCTGTAAGGAAAAAAAAAATCTCTCTCTCTCTCTCTATATATATATATTTTAATGTGATTATATATCATGCTACAAACTGAACTCTAATTTGCGCTTTAAAGTAAACTTACAAATAAATTCATGAAAAGTGTTTTTTGTGAACTTTTGATGTTTATCACACTTTATGGAATTATTTTTTTCTTTTGGGAAGTTGGGGGAGGAGCAGGTACTTTTTGCCCTCCAACCCCTATCCTCTCTGCTGCATTTCAGTCTGCCACAACGTAAACTTTTCAGGCCCAAACTCCTCTCAAAATCTCTGTGCGTCAGGAGCCCACAGGACAGGACAGATGAGAACGAGAACAAACAACTTAATATAGCTGCAACAATCACCCTCAGATTTAAGCAGATTCAGTCTCTTTGTCTTTCCAGTAGACCCTGGAATTTCCTGTTATCATATTTATGGCATAAACATGGATCTTTCACCATGACCAACCAAGAGGAGTAACTAAAAACAGGGTTGGAAGCCAGAGAAGCCTGAAAAAGAAACACTGATATGGTCCGTCACTCCCTATGCAGTCTGTCCTGTGTTCCATAGCACACCCCGACTTTCAGAAAGTTGGCCCAGAATTCAGAAACTCTACCCTAAAAACTCTGAAACTAAACACTCTTTACAGCCACCAACAAGGGGAAGAGGGCTGAGACAGGAGAAGGACTGCTGTGTTGGGGGGTAGTTTTCCTTCTTGATACATCTCCAGCAGGAGCCTTTCCTGTGCAAACCTTACCTTGAATGTGGCGCCAGGCCTCGTAATGATTGACAGGTTTGTAGAGAAGCTTCTTGGATTTGATTGGTCCATCCCCAAAGTAAGGCTCAGAGCTGATGTTGATGACAGCAAAGTTATGTCCAGTGTCAATCACGTTGGGAGCATTCAAGGGCTTTGGAAGAACTAAACACAAATTCAGCAATCAGATTAGTTCTTAGATTTAGGGGTTTATCATTATTCTTAGGAGGGGGAAAGGGTGAGTGCCTTTACATCATATATAATAAAGAAGTGATATGCAAATTGACCATCACACCCTCACAAGATAGCTGCCTTTGACCAGTCCAACAGGGGGGTTAGTGAGGCATGACTAAATGACTAAACAGCAGGCTGTGAGGGGCAACCTGGCCAGCAGGGAGGGACAGTTGGGAGTGGCCAGGTCAGCAGTGGGGGGCAGTTGGAAGTGACCAGGTCAGCAGTGGGAGGCAGTTAGAGATGAATGATTAGGAGCCAGCAGTCCAGGATTGTGAGAGGGATGGCTGACTGCTGGTTTAGGCCTGATCCCCTCTATCCCCATGCATGAATTTTGTGCACCAAGCCTCTAGTTTCCAAGAGCATCTTCTTAGAGCTCTCTGGTCAAATGCAATGAAATCAACTGTTCGGTGTTCTCTCCACTTAGGTATTGCCTCTCCAACCCCTTATCCACAGTCTAAGTGCTTTCTTAAAATATGACTACTCTGCTCAAGACCCTTCAATGGATCCCCATTACATTTAGAATAAAGCCTAAAATGTATACCATGGCCTGCCAGCCCCTGCACGAGTGAGTCCAGCCTCCTCTTTCTCTCACACAATACCCTCCAGCCCCACTGACCAATATTCAGTTCATCCAACTAACAAAGCAGCAAGCTCCTTTGGTCTCAGTCTTCATAGATGTCGTTTTCTGGGAAGAAATGCTCCACCTCCCACTATTCTCTAGTTAACTCTTACCCATCTTTGAACTCTGACCTCCAATGTTACTTCTTCACAAGGGTTATCCTAAATCTCAGCTAGGCTTTCAGAGAATTTCTACTTTTGCTTCCTGGTAATTTTCAGGACATATTATTCTGTGTGATTTTGTGTGATTATTTGATATAGATCTTCTCACTAGACTCTGTATTCTCTCTCTCTCTCTCTCTCTCTCTCTCTCTCTCTCTCTCTCTCTCTCTCTATCTCTCGGGTGGGAGGGTCTGAAAACAACAGGATCATTATCTTACAGTGCTGAAGGTCAGAAGTCAGACATGGGTCTCACGGGGCTAATGTCAAGGTGTTAGCAGGGCTATGCTCTTTCTGGAGGCTCTACAGGAGAATGTTTCCTGGTTCTTTCCAGCTTTTATAAACCACCTACATTCCTCCACTCCTGGCCCCTTCCTCCAGCTTCAAAGTCAGCAGATTGCATCTCGGCGACCCTCCTACTCTGTATTGTAGTATATCTTTCTGTCTAGAGCCAGGAAGGTTCTGGCTTTTAAGGACTCATGTGATTAGAGTGGATCCTCTGGATAACAAGAATAATCTCCCCATCTCCCAAAGACCATGTGTTCTCAGTCGGGACAATAGCACCCCACCAAGGAGGTGAAAATTGGTTCTTGGGGTACAGTATTACAACGGCTTGTGGCCTTGTGAAAAGCCACAGTACATAAACAGATATGCAGGACATCTGTGATGTTAATTAACATTTTATGGTGTAGAGTTTTGGGGGGGAAAGATTCTAAGAGGACTCCGTAATGAATAATGATTTTTTAAAAAAGTTGTAAAACACTATAGTAGACTCTAAACAGACCACGTAGGTTTGTTCACCAGATGCTGAATAACTATCAACCAAATTCCCAGTGAGTCCTATAGCTCCGTTAGCCAGACCTTCTGAGAAATGCACAATTGTTTTTCTACACAAGAGTGTATATTATATAATGTAGACTCAGATTTCAGAGGACATTACAATGTTCAATTACAATGTTCAATGACTTTACCTCTTGTCTTAATGTTTTGACTCACCATCTGTAAAAATGACCCTCAAGTCTTTGCTCAATACCATTTTATCAGGGAATCCTGTCCCATTTAAGATGAGTCACCTCTCCAGCCCTGCCCCAGCAGTCTTTGCCCCCATTTTGGCCTTAATCTTCTCCACAGCACTTAGCATCTCAGCAAACTAGACATTTTACTTATTTATTTGTTCATTGTTTATGGGAATGAAAGCTCCATGATGAGAGTGCTTTTTGCCCTCCTTGTATTATTCATTGCTATATTCCCAAGCCTAGAACATACAGTCCTTTAGCAAATTCTATTGGCTGACTAAATAAATACTGATGAGTAAGTTGCCCAAGGTCGGGATAATAAAGCAGTGAGAAGCCTAATTGAACAGCATGCCCTGACAAGGTGGCTGTGCCATTGTTAAGTTAGGTAAGTCTGAATACACATTTTCTTAGATCAGTTTCTAAATAGTGCCTCTAAAAAAAGTGAGTAAATTCATTCACGGAGTCATACTTCCGTCGTATAGGACCACCTTGTTTGTTTAAATCATCGAAATGCATGTTAATATAGCCATTAGTGTCAGTCTCTTGTAAAAGAGATAACTTTACAAGGGTAAAAAAATTATTCCAAAAGCTTCCTTTTAGTAATTTATTGTTTTGTCTTTTCATTTTCTAATCATTCTTATTGATATATAGATATTATAAAATGCAAAAATCTTGTGTACTTAGCTCAAGGACTTTACATATGTACACACCCTGGTAACCACTATCCAGACTAAGATAGAGAATATTTCCAGGCACGCTCCCCCCTCTCCCCACCCCCGCAAAGCACCAAGCACCGAATGTCCCTTCCCATTCGATAGGGAGCTACTATCCTAACTTCTGTGAGTATAGATTAGTTTTGCCTGTTCTTTAACTTTAGGTCAGGCATGTCAAACTCACAGCCCACAACAAATATTTTTGCGACCCAGCCAATATGTAAGAAACGTTTTAATAAAAATTTTATAACTTAATTTTTATAATAACCTGCTATACATAATTATTAGTAATGACCACAATGTTCGCTAATGACTGATAACTATTTTGTGCTGCATTCATTTCCCCTATGAGCAGGTGCACCATTTCTCTCCACTAATACCAGCAGCAAATATTTTTTTTGCAGCCCATGGCCACGTCATTCATTTTGGACTGACTTGTTTGAAGTGCGCAACAGGAAATATTTCGCTTTCAGAGAACAAGAAAAATAGGTTTATTTGTGTTACACTTATTAATGTGTGCAGTTATTCAGTGTCTGGTAAGTTAATGTTCAAGAAAAAAAAACATTAATTTTTATTAAAATGTTCTATTATTTTATGTTAACGATTAGTCATTTATTTCAGCCCTTTGTATTCAGCATCTCTCTATTGAAATAAACCTACCTTTCTATGAAAATTGAAGCTCTTCTTTTTTGTGGCCCACATAAACTTAGACCTTATTTATTTGCCCCATTGTTAACCTTTGAGTTTGACATGATGGCTTTAGGTGAATAGAATCATAAAGCATGTACTTTCTTTTGCTCATTATTATGTCTATGATATTCATCCATAGTGTGGTAGGAATTTATTGTTTAATTTTCCACTGTATGTTGTTATGGATGAATTGCATTTCCCCCAAATTCATATGTTGAGGTCTTCACCCCCAGCACCTCAGAATGTAACTGTATATTGAGATGTCTTTAAGAAGGTAATTAAGATAAAATGAGATTATTAGGGTAGTTCCTAATCCAATATGACTGTTGTCCTCATAAAATCATTAAATTAGGATATACACATGTACATAGAAAAGACCATATGAAGATAGGAGAAGACCATAGACAAGCCTGAGAGAGAGGCCTCAGAAGAAACCAACTATGCTGGCGCCTTGATCTTGAACTTCCAGGCTCCAGAACCATGAGGAAATCAATTTTTGTCTTTTAAGATTCCAGTCTGTGGTCCTTTGTTACAGTGGCCCTAGCAAAGCAATACATTTGAATGATCACAACCTGCTTATCCCTTCTGATGCGGATGGGCATTTGGGTTAATTTCAGTTTGGGGCTATTCTGACTAAAAGTGCTTGGAACATTCTTGCAGATGTCTGTTTTGGACATGTGCACACATCTTTTGAGAATACCTTGGAATAAAACTGCTAGGTCACAGGGTAAGTGTATGACGAGCTTTAGTATATAGTGCCTGTTTGCCAGAGTTGTACCAATTTGTCCTCTGATAACAAAGCCTAGTATCTATTTCTTCAAATACTCTGGGTAAAGACACTGGCAACCTTACCCAACGGTTGTTCCCATTTTATGAATGTCCATCCACATGGCAGTGATGAAGCATCAGTCACTTGGAACTAGAGATGCGTCCTTGCATGGACATCATGTGCTATGTTTCTCGTTAAAAAAAATAAAAAAATAAGGTTCACCCGAATCTTAGCAGTGTGGTTTGTATTTTTAATCATTCTTATTTATTTTCCCTGGATAACAAACATGATAATAATCTTAAACAATGATATAATTTGCCTTGTTTGTATATTGTTTCTTTTCTTCCAAGTACAAGTATGACATAATAAGTTGTTTTGATAATGTGATTACTCCAAGTAAAACAGATTTGGGATTTTTCCAAAAAATACTGAGAATTCTGAGGTGCTTTCCATGGATTCTCAGGGCAGAGAATCCAAATCTATGAGACTCTGTTTATATTACTGTTGTAACTGAACTTTTAAAAATAAAAGATTATGTTTACATTCATTTCATTTATAGAAATTACCTCCTGGTTCTCCTGAAGATTGCTAATCAAGTAATGAAATGAGTCAAATACAACTCAACCTTGGCCATCTTGCTTCCTCATCTGTAATGCAAGAGACTCAGAGAGCAAAATGGTGAAGGGTTGGAGTCAGGAGACCCAGATTCAAAGTTAAGATTCGTTGCTTAGGAGACATACTACCTGAGACAAGTTAGCTAAATCTCTGAGCCTGGTCCTGACTGATAAAGTGGGGATAACAATATCTATTGTGTAAGTTTTTATAAAGATTAAATAAGATGAAGTATGTAGTGAGACAGTTAGCTCACTGCCTTTCCAAGAATATATACTAAGAGTGTTGGGTGCTTCTGTCTAAATGGACTATAAGTAACTTCCATATTTAAGACTCCTTGTTGTATCTATGTATACCAGCCAGCCTACCTGGGATTTACCTTCACTTCATTTCTTTTCCTCAAGCTACAAACGGACACACACCCCCATAGATTAATTTGAATTTTGAAATACAAATTTGTAGCAGAAGAAATACAACACTGATTATGTGGGGAAAATCATTCTTGTTCATTAAACAACATAATTCTCAAAAGTTTCCAAATAGTTATTTACAATAATGAGTCACAACAATGATGAGGCTTTTGATGAAATATAAACATGACCAGACACTTTGTCCCAGACACAATTCCAAGAATTTTATACATCTAGTAAATCTTCACAACAACCCGGAAAAGTAGATAAACTAAGTGTCATTCACACAGAAAAGAAGGCTGGGAGAGGCTAATTCATTTGCCCAGGTGCATACACACAGTCACTAGATAATAGGGACAAAAATCAACCCCTGGGCTATGTGGTCCCGAAGGTCATATACTTAATCCTACCTTTCCATGTTCATGCACATTAAAAAACAAAACTGGAAAGACTTAATATCCTGGGAAAGATCCAAAAGACATTTTAGCTGTCAGATAACATTCCTATCTGAAAGCAACCGCCCAGCGAAACATAAACAAAGCGCTTCAAGGATACCAGCTCTTCCTCTGGGCACGGAGCTTACCTTTCACAGAGATGTTGAAAGGCTTTTCCTCCATTCCAGCCACGGTGTTCACACTGCAGACCCAGACTCCCGAGTCAGGGGGCAGCAGCCGCTCAAGGGTGAAGGTGGCCACTGACAGATGACCCGTGTGGTTAAAGTCTTTTGGCTGGAAAGGTCAAATACAACAAAAATAATAAAATAAAAATAAAAAAATCAAAGCTTCCAGGGAGGCGTAAACACCAAGGTTCATAACACTGACCCCGTCTCATTGTTTAATAAGAAATTTTCTAGGAGAGATTAAGAAGTTCAATGCAAGGCTTGTATAATCACTGGCCCACTTCCAACACTATTGTAGTAGCCCCAAGAGTTTATATTGGATTGACGCCCTCACAGATCCTGCTGTTGTATTTGTGTGTTTGGTTCGTGTGGAGTAAATAGTTACAAGCAAGCGGTCCAATTTCTTTTAAGCTGCTGCGGGCAGCATTTGCCGCTTTCTGGTCTAATACAGAGATGGCAGGATGAGAGGATACAATGGCTGCCCAAAGGGTGTGAGGGCTGTCACATGTGGTCTTGTGGGAAAAGCCAGGGCTCTGAGTCCACATAACAGCTCTGCCCAGTTCCTCAGTTACTAAACTTCACCCAGCCAGTTCCCACTTTTGCAGAAAGGGACAGGTGATGATAAGTTAGAAGGTGGATCTCGTATGGTTGGCCCTCGCTAGATGGTAGCTGTTCCTCCCATTACCTTGTGGAAAGGCCAATAAGAACTTGGAAGATGTCAATTGGCTTCTCCTACCTAACGGGTTGTTTGAGTGGAATCAGGAACATCTGCTGTGTGGACATTGGTAATGGCATGTTCTATATGCATACATATCCATGTCCCTAAGAGGTCATTTGGATCTGCCTTCCTGGTAAGTTGATTTTTTCAGTCATCTTTGAGAGACATAAAAGATAGCTTTTTTTGTTTGTTTGTTTTTGTTTTTAAATAGCTAAGAAAATACACCAGCTTCTTGAGGATCATTTGTGACACAGAGAAATGTGGGATGTTGGGGGAGAAAGGGGAAATGTGTTGAAAAAGTAGCTTGGTCCTTTCCAGCAAAGAACTGCTGCCATAGCGCCGTAGCCAGTGGTGGGCAGCATCGGTGAGGAAAGAGGGAAGGGCAGGGAGGCCTGAGGAATGCCTCCTGGTCTAAGGGGTCCCGCGGATCCCGGTTTCTGAACTGCAGATGTGGCAACAGGTCTGTCCGGAGTCAAAGCTAACACATCCTAGCCTGAGGGATGCAAGCCCCAAGTGGAATCCAGCCTTGGGTGAGGTCACTACTATACTGAAAGTACCTAGTGATGGCAGGAGGGAAGATAAAGAGTAACTCTTACGCCCTAACTGATTTGGATCAGCGGAGAGAGCGTCAGCCTGTGGACTAAAAGGTCCCAGGTTAGATTCTGGTCAAGGGCATGTACCTTGGTTGCGAGCACATCCCCAGTAGAATATGTGCAGTAGGCAGCTGATCGATATTTCTCTGTCATCAATGTTTCTAACTCTCTATTCCTCTCCCTTCTTTTGTGTAAAAAAAAAAAAATCAACAAAATATATATATACATATGAAAAAAAAAAAAAAAGAATAACTCTTACGTGGAGCACTGTCCCATCGGGCTTCACCAGGGTCATTTCTTCATTAGCAGGCAGTGGCCAGCCAGACGCTTTGCAGATGTGGTTCAATTTACCACTGTTGACTTCTATGTCATCTGGCAAATCCTCTATCCTTGGGGTCATCCTTGGCCTGCCTGAATGAAAAAAACAGCACTGTGAAATCCAATCTTTAACGCAATGGCAATGGTAATTAAAAAAAAAAAAAAGCAGCTACCATTTAGCAGGTCCACCCAGGAAAGAACTTTCCAAATATTATATTGTTTTGCCATAACATAATAAACTTGTGAGGTGGGTCCTATTGTGGTGCTCACTTTATAGAGGATGAGAGGGAGTCTGGGAGCCCAGATTCACACTCAGATCTTTATGATCCAGAGCCCACACTGTTCCCCATGATGCTGGGCTCCTCAGTGCACCAGTGATATACACCCTCCTGCCCTTACTGTTCAGCCTCTTTCTTGCAATTTAAGATAATTTTTATAAGAATAAAAACTAGCTCTTCCATTCAGCAAACAACCCCTTTGATACTGCTGATCTACACCAGGAACATTAGTTTTGATATCTGAGAGATGTCTCATTGACTGGGAAGTCTGCACATAGAAGATAACTTACTTATAGGCAGATTTCACCCTAGCCAGTTTGGCTCAATGGATAGAGTGTCAATCTGCAGATCAAAGGGTCCTGGATTCAGTTCCATTCAAGAGTTCCATCCAATACCTTGGTTGCATGCAGGAGGTAACCAATCAATGTGTTTCTCTCTCTCTCTCTCTCTCTCTCTCTAAAAATCAACGGGAAAATATCCTTGGATGAGGGTTAAAAAAATAAATAAATAAAATAATAGGCAGAGTTATAATAAATCTCAAAAACACTGTAAGTTAAAAACTCAAAAACAGTATAACTAGACCCTCCCAGATTCCTGCCCGGTAGTAAGTAAAGCAACATAGAAACTTCCCCAGATCAGTTTATAGTCAACAGCCAAATCAAAAAATGTTGCTTCTAACATTGAAAAAGGAAAATATGCCTTTGGTTATAACATAGACATCAGGATTCCTTGCCTAATATCTGCTGAGGAGAGAATGGACAACCCTGAAATATAACAGTTTTATTCTGAACTATAGGATCTTTGAGAATCTTAGGCCACTTGTAATTAAATGTGAGAAGTGGCTGAAGACAGTTCAACCCATTCGTTAGTAGGAGATGGAGGTGCCCAAGAGCCACCGTCACTCATATGCTGCTTCGTATTGGTGGTGGGAGGAGGTGGGGTCATGGTAAACACGTCAATAGTGGTATTTTATATTGATATCCTAGTTCTCAGGCCCAGAAAGAAACAGTAAAGTGTGTGGAGCAGGAGACAAAAGGACCTAAGACTACAGAGGTAATTCCTTGACGTATCTGTAGATTTGGAGAGGTTAAGAAATTCACTCAATTTTTCAGCTTAAGTAGTTACTTGTGTAGGAATTTTTTAAAGTGCTTTGTTCTGACCGGTTTGGCTCAGTGGCTGGAATGTCGGCCTGCGGACTGAAGGGTCCCAGGTTCGATTCCGGTCAAGGGCATGAAACCTTGGTTGCTGGCACATCCCCAAAGGGGGGTGTGCAAGAGGCAGCTGATCAATGTTTCTCTCTCATCAATGTTTTTCTCTCATCGATGTTTCTAACTCTCTATCCCTCTCCCCTCCTCTCTGTAAAAATCAATAAAATACATATTTTTTTTTAAAAAGTGTGTTGACACTTTTAAACCATTTCTTTCTTTCACTGTCCCTTGCATTTGCTGCAGTTGGATGCAGGTGAAGGTGGATGGGCAGGTGGAGGGTGGAAGGATGTGTGTTAATGAAAGGGGGCTGCTCTCCAGAAGTTTAGGGTCTGGATGTAGGTCTGAGATTTCTCACACTTTCTGCAACTTCAGCCTAAGAACAGAAGGAAGGAGTAAAATAGAAAATCCAACTCCTAAAGCTTCTTAGTTCTCCATTTCAATCTGTTCCCCTAGAGCATTTCCTTCCCTAACTAGACCCTCCTAGATTCCTGCCCAGTAACAACATCCAAACGCTGGGCACAGAATGGCAAGTATAAAGCTGACAAGCAAAAGCCTCTGAGAAAACAACTACTGGTATTTCCCCCTGTATCTGTTCTTGCGGTAACTATTCAACGTGTGTAAGAGCAGCCACACACCATATCTTGTAAACAAATGGGTGCGGCTGTGTTCCAATAGTTTTCTTTATGACAACAGATGGAGGGGCAATTAAGAAGGAATGGAGTACCAGTATATGCTAAGACATAGATAAAACTCAAAAACAGTATGATAAGTGAAAAAGCCAGCCACAAAAGACCACATACTGTATGATCTCACTTACAGTATATAACCTGTCAAGAATAAGCCAATCTGTACAGACAGAAAGTAAGTTAATAGTCCCCAGGGGCTGGAAGGAGGGAAGAATGGGAGTTACTGCTAACAGGTACGAGATTTCTTCTGGCATGATAGAAATATGCTACCCTTACATTATGGCAATGGTTGCACAACTCCATAAATATACTAAAAGCCATTGAATTGTATACTATAAGATAATAAATTTAAGGTAGAAAAATTATATATCAATAAATATGTTTTAAAAAAAATAGTGGAGCAGCTATGGTCTATGGGTCAGTGTTTGCTGACCTCTGTTCCAGGTAATTTCTGAACTAGAATTACTTACCATTTCATTCTGAAAGCAATCTATTCTATTTTTTATATCTTTTTTTTAATCCATTGTCTAAATTCCTCTAAAGTAGTTTTTCCCTGTTGTGTATATCTAGAGACAAGGCTGGTCCCAGAGAAGGGAGAGGGGACAGGCAGAACTGTCAGCTGGTCAGTTATCACTTCCTGTGCTATAAAGAGCACATGATTTATTTCTAGTAAAAAAAAAAAAAAAAAAAAAAAAAAAAAAAGGATGAGAGCCAGTACAAAGGCCCATAGAAAAGAATTAGAAAGCTTGAAAGCTTTCTTTTAAAATCTGGGACATAGTTTTTCTAACTTTTAGATGGAAACAGAAGTGGTTTGAGAATCTTGGGTTTTGAGGGCAAGAATGATTCCAGAAAGCTTGGTTCAGATGTGCTGAACATGGCCATGACTACCGTGTTACCTTGCTTTACCTTCTTTCTCACACTGGAGCCCTTGGCGTTCTGGAGAGCAGAGGCATCCTTGGAACCGATCACAGATCTCCCCATTGGTGCACCTGCACCTGAGCTTACAGTCTGGCCCATAATACCCAGGCTGGCATGCTGTGAACAGAGACATAAAAAGCCAGTGATGAAACAGGAAGAGGAAAACATTCAGGCTATAATTGGCTAGTTTCATTTTCTCTCCAATCAATTCATTGATTCATTTAAAATAGTATGTGATTTATCCACATTATTTATCTGAATTATCAGGAATGTAAGGGGTTAGAAAATTCTGCTTCTATGAGAGTTGCTCAGTGAGATAAAGGAAAATATGCTCACAACAAATGAAACAATGAGAAATCTTAGCTTAGAGATAGAAACTATAAAATAAAAAAAATAACCTAAAGAGGATCTAAGATGGCAGCAGACTAGTTGAATGTTCCACTCACCTCCTCTCAGGACCAAACTGGAATTATAACAAAAATGCAGATCAACCTGAATAACCAACTAAAGACTAGTGAAACAGAAGTCTTCTAACCAAGGATTTATAGAAGAAGCCACATCAAGACTGGTAAGAAAGGTGGAGACACAAAAAAGTCTGACTCCCACATCCATGGGCAATAGCTAAGATGCTGAAGGGCTACCTCAGCTGCAAAGGTTTCCCCTGAGGAGTGTGGGATCTCAACTCCATGCTGGGCTCCATAGCCCAGAGCACCAGAGCTGGGAAGAGATTCCCACATAAAATCTGGCTGTTAAAATTGGTTGGGGATTGTCTTCTAGGGAGCTACAAGTGGGCATCCTCCTAAAGAGCCAATGCACAAAATCTCATGCACAGCCATTCACCCTGGGCTCAGGAGGAGGGAGAGCAGAGCAGACTGAAGTTGTGTGAGGAAAGCCTGGGGCTTATGGCTCTAGGGAGAACACTGAGAGGACAACAGCCGGGCAGGCACCCTGCATTGAATAACTCTGCTGCACCACAGACACCATCTGCTTGGATGGTGGAGCCGTCCCCTCCTATGGCATTAGCCTTGGGCAGTGTTCAGCAAACTGCGGCTCGCAAGCCACATACAGCTATTTGGCCCCTTGAGTTTTTAGCAAAGGCCAGCTTAGGAATACCCTAATTAAGTTAATAACAATGTACCTACCTATATAGTTTAAGTTTTAAAAAAATTGGCTCTCAAAAGAAATTTCAATTGTTGTACTGTTGATATTTGGCTCTGTTGACTAATGAGTTTGCCAACCACTGGCCTAGGGAATGCAATAACCCCACACTTGGGCTCCCTGACCCCGCCACCCTGCAGAGCTCATACCTCAGTAAGAAGTCAGCTGCCTGGACTGGAGTCAGCTGCCTAGGCCGCAGTGCAGAGGTCTGGGCAGACTCGGAGGGTGTCAGTGACTGAGTGGTATGGTTTTGGGGTGGGGCTATTCCCCCCACTTTCCCATGAAAGTAACTGGTGTCTTCCCTGATGGGAGATCCTCTAGCCCCACCCTGCGGACTATAGGTGGCCACACACTCTCAATTCATGGTAGGCCCTGCCCTGTTGGGATCCAGAGAGAATCTGAGACAGACTGAGTTGTGTGGCTTTGTGGTGGACACCTCTCATACCACCTTCCCCCAACCCTGATCACTATCTCCACATCATAGGCAATCAACCAGCCCCATCATCCTGATTCCCAGCGACCCTGCCCTAAAGAGCTCGTGCTCCTGGCAGAATCCTGGACAGACTGAGCTGTGTGGCTCTAGGACGGAAGCCATTTTTTCCCTGATACACTCAACTAGTGCAGAGTCCTTCCTGCATGAGGCCAAATTTTGGTCTACCTGGGCCTGGTGAACTCTGCTGGCCTCACCAGATGACTCCATGAGACCACCCCCATCACAAAGGTGTGTGAGCACCTAATGGGTGACAGCTAGACTTGGTATACGCTAGAAAATTTGCTGAGTGATCTCAGACCCAGGACTGGCAGTGAGTTTGAACCTGTATCAGTCTGGTAAACACCACTCACCCGTATCTGGTGACTACTGGGAGAACTGAACTCATGCAACTTGAGCACTGGCAGAGGCCCTTGCAGTGATTGAGCTCTCAAGCAGAGGCAGATCTTAGGGTGACCTGCCACCAGGCCCAGTGCTGGTAAAAGCCAACCTTGGTGCACAGCTTGTTCCTTTCTGCACACGGCAGAGGTATCCCTCACCCTAACCACAATGAGGCATCACCTCACACCTCAGAATACAAACCTAGCAATAATCACTTCAAATGTAAATGGCTTAACTGTTCCATCAATAAGTCGACAAACAACAAGAGCTAGTGAAAATGTGGAGAAAAGGGAACCCTTATGCACTGCTGGTGGAAATGCAGACTGGTACAGCCACTGTGATAAACAATATGGGAATATATCCTAAGAACCCTGAAACACCAATCAGAAAGAATATATGCAGAGGCAGCCACAAACTGTGTGTCATTTTGTAGCTCAAACAGGTTGCCCAGGGCCACAGGCAGCACCTGATATTGGCCTGAACCAGAGTCCCTACCAAAAGGCCCAGAGCCAACACACTGGCCAGCTTCAGAAAACATCAGAACAAGATCCAATTAGCTTCACAAGCAGCCAATCCAAAGGGAGATCTTGGCAGGCACCAGACCCTATTGAAGCAAATTCCATTTCGTGTGGTCAGCACCTGCATAAAAGCCTTTATAGTGTGGTCAGGGTCAAAATCAGCCAGCCTGAGGGTCAACCCCAAGAGGAATGGGCCAATAGAAATACTCAATTAGACAATAGAAGGACACACAAAATCTACACAAGAGACGTTTCTGGAGCACCAAGATCAGGTAATCAAGGAGACTGCAACACTGAGAGTCCCACAGGACACCTACTACATACGACCACACTACCAAGTCTGGGACTCATAACAGATCTAAATAATACATAGGAATAAACAAAAAAAAAGGCACCAAAGTGGGGAGACAAAGAAATATGCCCCAAATGGAAGAACAGGAGAAATTTATGAACCCCCGTGTTCAAAGCTGCATTGTTTACAATAGCCAAGATCTGGAAACAGCCCAAGTGCCCATCATAAGATGAATAGATAAAATAGCTGTGGTACATTTACACAGTAGAATACTACATAGCTGTAAAAAAGAAGGAATCTTTACCTTTTAAGACAGCATGGATGGATCTAGAGATTATTGTGCTAAGCAAAATAAGCCAAACAGAGAAAGACAAATACCATACAATTTCACTTATATGTGGAATCCAATAGACAAAATAAACTGATGAACAAAATAGAACCAGAGTCATGGATATGAAAAACAGATTGATAGAGATTAGAAGAGAAGGGAAGAGAAGAGACTGGATAAAAGAAGGTGAAGGGATTAGCCAACGAACATATATGCATAGTTCATGGACACAGACCATGAACAATGTAGTGATGAACAAATGAAGAGTGGGTGGGGAGGTGTGGAAGTGGTTAAAGTGGGGGAGGATGAAATGAGGGACATCTGTAATAATGCCAACAATAAATAAGAATAAAATCACAATAAATCTATACCTAGCAATAATCACTTCAAATGTAAATAGCTTAAATGATCCAATCAAAAGACATAGGATAGCAAACTGGATAGGAAAACAAGACCAATATATATGCTGTCTATAAGAGATTCAATTCCAAATGAAAGATACACAGACTAAAATAAAGAGATGGAAAAAAAGATATCTCATCAGATGGGAAGGAAATAAAAGCCGGGATAGAAATATTTATATCTGACAAAATAGGCTTTAAAACAAAGGCTATGATAAGAAACAAAGAAGGGCACTACATAATAATAAATCCCACAAGAGGATATAACCCTTGTAAACATTTATGCACCCAGCATGGAGCACCTCAACATATAAGCAAATCTTGATGAACATAAAGGAAGAGATTAACAGCAATACAGTAGGGAATTATAACACCCCATTGACAAAAATGGATAGATCTTCCAGATAGAAAATCAATAAGAAAACAGCTGCTTTAAATGACACACTAGGTAAGATAGATTTAATTTATATCAGATCATTTCACCCCAAAACAGAATATACATTCTTTTCAAGTGCACATGAAACATTTTGTAAGATAGACCACATGTTAGGACACAAAACAAGTCTCACATTGAAATCATATCAAGCATCTTCTCTGACCATAATAGTATGGAACTTAGATATCAACAACAAGAAAAAGCTGAAAAACACACAGACATGGAAGCTAAACATTAGTAAACAATGAATGGATCAACAGTGAGGTCAAGGAAGAAATCAAAAGATACCTTGAAACAAATGAAAATGACAACACAACAATCCAAAATGTATGGAACACAGTCAAAGCAATCCTAGTAAGAAATTTCACAGCATCACAGGCCTACCTCAAAACAAGAAAAACCTCAAATAAGCAATCTAACTTTGCATTTAATGGAACTTGGAAAAGAATAAACAAACAAAGCCAAAGTGAGTAGAAGGAAGGAAATAATAAAATCAGAGCAGAAATAAATGCAATAGAGTCTAAAAAAATGCAAAAGATAAATGAAACTGTGGAAAGGAAGTACAATTGTCATTTTAAGCAAATGACATGATACTCTGTGTAAAAACACTAGTGCAGGAATGGGGAACCTTTTTCTGCCAAGGGCCTTTTGGATATGTATAACATCCTTCACAGGCCATACAAAATTATCAACTTGGTTTCCTCTTTCACCAGGGACCTGCCAACATGGGCCGCGTTTGCACCAAGACCATGAAGAAGGCGGCCCAGGTCATCATCGAGAAGTACTACACACGCCTGGGCAATGACTTCTACACCAACAAGCGTGTGTGTGAGAAGGTCATCATTATCCCCAGCAAGAAGCTCTGAAACAAGATAGGGGGCTATGTCGCCTATCTGATGCAGCAGATTCAGAGAGGCCCATGAGAGGCATCTCCAACAAGCTGCAGGAGAGGGAGGGAAGAGATAACTATGTCCCTGAGGTCTCAGTCCTGGATCAGGAGATCACTAAAGTTAACCCTGACACTAAGGAAATGCTGAAGCTCTTGGATTTTGGCAGTCTGTCCAACCTGCAGGTCCCTCAGCCTAGAGTTTGGATGAATTTCAAAACATCAAGTGACGCAGTTTGAATATTTTGCTATGCTGTAATATTATCAACAAACCATGGACAATCTTAAAAAAAAATTATCAACTTTAAAAATTAGCCTGTTTTATTTGGTCAAACATTTAATAACTCACCCCTGATGCTTTGACAGGGCCAAACCAAATGATTTTGTAGGTCTTATACAGCCCACAGGCTGGATGTTCCCCACCCTTGCCCTAAAGACTCCACAAAAAAACAAACAACAACAACAACAACAACAACAAAACCCACAAAACAAAACAAAAAACTACTAGAACTGATAAATGAATTCAGTTAAGTAGCAGGATACAAAATAAACATCTAGAAATTATTGCATTTTTATACACCAATAATGAACTATCAAAAAGAGAAACTATGAAAATAATCACATTCACAATTGCTTCAAAAGCTAACAAAATATGTAGGAATGAATCATAAAATTACAAGACACTATAAAAAAGAAAATGAAGAAGATCCAAATAAGTGGAAGCATATACTTGTTCATGAATGGGAAAAATTAACATCATTAAAATTTCCATACTACCCAAAACCATCTATAGATTGAACACAATTCATATCAAGACATCAATGGCATTTTCATCAATGGGGTGAGTTATTAAATGTTTGACCAAATATTTATAAGGAATTACAAAAGACCAGAAATAGCCTCAGCAATCTTGAGAAAGAACAAGTTTGAAGAATCACATTACCTGATATCAAATTATACAACAAGTCATAGTAATCAAAACAGCATGGCACTGGCATAAAAACAGATATAAGTCAATGGAACAGAAGAGAGAGTCCAGCAACAAACTCTTGCCTTTATGGTCAATTAATATTCAATAAAAGATACAAGAACACACAAAGATAGTCTATTCAATAAATGGCACTGAGAAAATTGGACAGATATGTGTGAAAAAGTAAAATTAGACCACTTCTTACACAATCCACAAGAATAAACTCAAAATGGATTGAAGATAAACCTCAAAACAATAAAAATCCTAGAAGAAAACTTAGGCAGTAAAATCTCAGACATTTTTCATAGAAATATTTTTTCTGATATGTTTCCTCAGGCAAGAGAATCAAAAGGAAAAAATAAACAATTGAACTTCATCAAACTAAAATGTTTTTGCACAGCAAAAGAAAATGAAAAGATAACCTACTGAATAGGAGAACATATTCATCAGTGATAAATCTGATCATAAAAAACTTATACAACTCAACATAAAGTGCAATTAAAAAATGGACAAAGGACCTGAATAGACACTTCTCCAAAGAGGACATACAGATGGCCAATAGACAAAGGAACAGATGCTCAATGTCACCAATCATCAAGGAAATGATGCAAATTAAAACCACAATGAGATATCACCTCACACCTGTCAGAATGGCTACCACGAATAAATGAACAAGCAACATGTGTTGAGGAGGATGTGGAGAAAAGGGAATCCTCACATGCTGTTGAGCAGTATCAAGTCACCTCAAAACATTAAAAATGGAACTGCCTTACGATCCAGCAATTTCACCTCTGGAAACATATCCAAAGAAACCCAAAACACTGATTCAAAAGAATATATGTACCCCTATGTTCATTGCAGCATTATTTACAATAGTCATGAGTGGGAAGCAGCCTAAGTGTCCATCAGTAGAAGAGCAAATAAAAAAGCTGTAGTACTGCCCTGGCCAGTGTGGCTCAGTGAGAAAATGTCAGCTCACACACCAAAAGGTTGTGGGTTTGATTCTTGATCAGGGCCCCTACCTGGGTTGAAGGTTTGTTCCCCAGCCCCAAGGGGTCTGTGCTGGAGGCAACCAATCAAGGCGTCTCTCTCATATCTATGTTTCTCTCCCCCCCTCCTCCACCCTTTCTACTCTCTCTAAAAATCAATGAAAAAAATATCCTTGGGTGAGAATTAGCAACAGAAATGCTATAGTACATTTACACAATGGAATAGTACTTGGCCATAAAAAAGAAGAAAATTTTACCTTTTGTAACACCATGGATGGACCAAGAGAGTATTACACTAAGTGAAAAAAGCCAGTCAAAGAAAGACAAATTCCATATGATATCACTTATATGTATAAAAATCTAATGAACAAAATTAATAAACAAACAAAATAGAAATAGACTTGTAAATACAGAAAGCAGGCTGACAGTTTTTGGAGGGGTAGGGTGCTGGGGGACTGGGTGAAAAATGAAGGAATTAATCAAAATAAACAAAAAATATCATATACAGACAACAGTATAGTGATTACCATTGGAAATGGAAAAAGGGTATATGGGGGAGATGGAAGAGGTACAGGAAGGATAAATGATGATGGAAGGAGACTTGACTTGAGTGATGAACACACAATACAATATTTGAATGATGTATTATAGAATTATACACCTGAAACCTATATAATTTTGTTAACCAAGGTTAGCCCAATAAATTGAATAATTTTTAATAACAAAAAAAAATTCTAGAACTAGACAACTGAAATAGAAAATGTTACTATGTAGACTTATCAGCAGAGTGGAGATGACAGAAGAGAGAGTCAATGAATTTTAAGTTTGATCAATAGACATCCAGTCTGAAGAACACAGACAGAGGATAAGATCATACCTTTCTCAATTACCGAACACCAAATCCAGTCCAGATCTAACCAGAAAGGGCTGATATTTATAATGCATTCAATGACATTCCAATGTCAAGTGTGGTTGGAAATCCAACGTCTTCAGCACATATAGGAGCTTGTTAGAAAGGCAGAACCCCCGGCCCAGACCCATGAAATCAGACTCTGTTTTAGTAAGATTCCAGGTGAGGTGTGTGAGGGAACACTGAGGTCCAGACCCATGAAATCAGACTCTGTTTTAGTAAGATCCCAGGTGAGGTGTGTGAGGGAACACTGAGGTCCAGAGCCTTCATGTGAAAGCATAATTAACTTTCAGTAAATCACCTGTGATTCAAACCCTGTTGCTCAGCAAACCAGACCTCCTTGTGTCCCTGCCAGGACTCCTCCTGTGCAGGGGCGGGACGGTGCATACCTTCATTGCACTGCAGGCTCTTCCAGCCGGTGGCACAGGAGCACCCGTAGGGGTCTGGGAGACAGAACACATGGGACTTGCATCCCTCTGGTCCACTACACCGTTCCTTACAGGTTCTGCCAAACGTGTGCCGTTCACAAGCTTTTTGGAGGAGAAAAAGGTGATTCAGAGTCAAACATACAACCCTTTGAAATGCCTAATTCTTCTTTTTAAAGGGTCTCTCCTAGACCACTGAACATGGAAGACAATCCAATCTCAGCTGAGGTACGGGCAGGGGGAACACACATTTTATATTCACATAAATGAGGATATCAGAGCCACATCCCCAATTTTGCGGATTGTGCATAGCACACACCTAGGGGAAGGGGGCATTCACATCACAGACATTGTAGATTCACTTATGTATTGAAACATTCCAGTATTTGGCAATAAGAAACTCTTAGGAAAGGCACCTTTTTCTTACTCACACAAAGGTGCCGTATGCCTAGCAGAGGCCATTGAACTTCCATTCCCAGCTCTGTCCACATATAAAATTCTAGACCCAATGGCGCCATTTTCAACCCACAATTTACTCATCAAATACTCTTCACTTACCCTTCTCACACGTCCTCCCCATAAACCCAGGAGGGCAAATGCATTCCCCCGTATCTTCATGGCAGACACCATTGTTCACACAAGTGGTGCAGGCACGGTTACACTCAGGTCCCCACTTCTGAGCCTCGCATCCTTCGGTTAAGGAAAACAAGTTTGTGGTGAGTAACGCACATTGACAGCATACCTGCTACATGTCAGTCATTTCAGAGGACTGGAGTGAATGAATAAAAATGAAGCACCATCTTTGTTCTTCAAAGGCTAATGGCTTAATGTGGGAAACAGATATGCTAACAGAGAATGATAGGAACAAAAGACAAAAATTACCTAATCCTGTCTTGGGGATGGGAGAGGGCATAGAGGAAGGCTTCCCAGAAGAGGTGGTATGTGAGCGGAATCTGCAGGCCCACCTAAGTCAAGCATGTCAAACTCAAAGGTGAACAGAGGCCAAAGAAACACTCAAAGGTGAACAGAGGCCAAAGAAACGAGGCATGCGGCCCATGGGCTGCAAGTTTGACGTGCTTGATCTAAGTAGCAGGGAGATATGACTGTTGAGTGTGTTCCAGGTGAAGGCGAGGACAAGAAGAGGCACCACGTGCTGGCAGAGCTGCAGGTGTGGTTAGAGCGTGGAACAATGATTTCCAAAGTGTGGTCTGTAATCAGCAGTATCTCCATCACCTGAGATTGTTAGTCATGCAAATCTCAGACTCCCAACCCATGACCTCCAGATGAAAAACTGTGGTGGTGGTCTAGCGATCGAGGCTTCACAAGTCTTCCAGATGATTCTGATACAGCCAGAGTTTGAGAATCTCTGATATAATGTGGACAAGGAATATGACCAAAGATGCTAGTAATATCCACCTATTTTTCAGGCAGAAAATATAAAAAGTGAAATAAGATACACAAATGTAAAGTACAAGGATGTTAAGATGTTTCTGGATTCATATTTCTTAGTGACTTTAGTTTGTTAATTAGCTCTAAGAATACATAAAAAAAAATCTAGGGGGGTTGTTGAATTTAAATTTTTATTTTATTAATAATTAAATTTTATTTAATTTTTCTTCTGCGCTCTTGCTCCCTGAATGTTATTTTCATGATAGTGAAGCTTGGACCTATGCCTATAGCCAATGTAACCTTGTAATTTCTTTGGCAAGAATTCCTAGTTATCAGTATTTTCTCTAAAATAATCAGGAAGACCATCAACACAGACCTTTTCCTTCAGGCTTCTACTTACTAGACAGAGCTACAAAATGTTTCAAAGCTAATATTTACATGCCTTAGTATTTAGAAAGGGAAAAATTATTCTGCACAATTAGCGATTTCTTAAGAGTCTGACCACAGGCTCTGTGGACAGTGAAGACTAATGATGGGAAAATGTGGAAATGAAAACAGGCTTCATGCCCCATTAAATTAATGTCTCTAGTTTTATACGGAATCCTGGGAAGGAGGAGAGAATGAAGCTGGAGGGAATGATTGGGGATGGAGCAGTCAGGAGAAGAATTTGCTGATAAGCAATGAGTATGCAATTAGGCTTTGTTATTTTCTTCACAAGCCTCATGGTTTTGTATTTTAGGAAACCACAGATTCATGGCATACAGAGAGAAATCCTGTAAACTTAATGCTTGTGAGGAATCTTTTGTCCGGGAGAGAATTTATACTAAAAATAAACCCTATACACATAAGCAGTGTGATTTTTACGAAACAGTCTCTGAGCACTGACTCTTCCTAGGCTTCAGTCATCCTGGAGAGACACCCTACAGTCAGGAGAAGTGGACTAATGCCTTCAAATGCCTAAACATCAGAGAGGTCATCCTGGGGGGAAATACTTTTAAATGGGATGATTGTATCCAAACTCACATTTCTTAGGAGTTTAGATATTGGCAGTGATTCTAAAACGGGTTCATTGAACTACTCCCTAAGAACCAAAGAGAATAAACACGTGCTCCCAGCGATCTGAGAAAGAGACAACTTGAAGGTCAAAATGCACTTGAAGTCTTTTGCCTTATCTTAAAAATTCAGGTGAATTTTAAATTCTAGTTTGTGCTGAGTCATTTTTTTTAAAAGCTTTAAACTTTTTACCTTGTATCAAAATCTGATGTTTCTGAAATTGCTGGAAAATTTGCCCATTTAACCCAGACTCTGAGCACCGAGATATATCAGACTAGAGAGAAACCATCCAAGAAATGAACCTAAATTGTGTCCTTGCCATTCAGACTCTCCACGAGTGTAGTGGAGTAAAAAGGATTCACCTGCACAAACTAGATGAACCACACTTTTCATAAGTCTATTATATTGCAATATCTGTTTATTTATGTATGTAGCCACTGTATTTGGGAATTATCTAAGGAACAGTGGCTCATCTTATGATGTTTGTGTTCTCAACACCAATACAATGCCTGATACAGTTAAAGTCAACACTAATTGCTGAAAGAGTGAATAAATTTCATACAAAGCAAAATACTCTTCATGAGTTAGAGATCCCAATTATTAGAGAAATGACAAAGCATCCCAAGTTCTTAGACCTGAAGCCTGAGTACTTAATACATTGCACACCAGTAGTTTTAGTGCTAGATTTACCCAGTGGCCAGGTAACTTTCTACTGAATGAGTACAAAAAAACATTTTACACAGTATACTTTAAAAAGATATTAGTTTGGCCGGGACCAGTTTGGCTCAATGGATAAAGCGTCGGCTTGGGGACTGAAGGGCCCCGGGTTCGATTCCGATCAAGGGCATGTACCTTGGTTGCGGGCATATCCCCAGTGGGGGGTGTGCAAGAGGCAGCTGATCGATGACTCTCTCTCATTGATGTTTCTAACTCTCTATCTCTCTCCCTTCCTCTCTGTACAAAAATCAATATATTTTTTTTAAAAAAAAGATATTAGTTTGTAAGAACATGTAATAAATAACTTCAAAATGCAATGGGTATTTAATTTCATATTAACTATGTAATATGAAAACACGAGAATGCTCGTGATCCGCCCGCCGTGTGTTAATATCATGAATGCCTGCCATAGCTGGGGAAAATTCAGGGCCAATTTGTTGCTTTCTACTAATCAATTTTATGTAAAAGCTATTGATGATGGTTACTTCCCACTTTGATAGCTATAATTGGGTGAAGGGTGGTTTTCACTAGTTCCCCAACTCTTACATTTTTCATACTTGAAAATAGAAACATACTTGAGAGTTAAGTGATCTGGAAATTGCAGGATTTTTAGGAGACTTGATGTTTAACCAGATCCTCGAGCAACCCAGCAGGCCCACCTCACCCCACTGAGGACACCTCTCAGGAGACTGCCCAGGTCACGGATCCCCCTTTGTATGGGAGTGGTGCAGTTATTCAAGTGTGAGGTCCCAGTGCTTGTACCTGATTATGTGGCTCCACCCTTGTCTACATCTTGTTGGTCTAGGCCAGTGGTCAGCAAACTCATTAGTCAACAGAGCCAAATATCAACAGTACAATGATTGAAATTTCTTTTGAGAGCCAAATTTTTTAAACTTAAACTTCTTCTAATGCCACTTCTCCAAAACAGACTCGCCCAGGCGGTGGTATTTTGTGGAAGAGCCACACTCAAGGGGCCAAAGAGCCACATGTAGCTCGTGAGCCATGGTTTGCCAATCACTGATCTAGTCAAATAGACATCTGACATATGTGATACCAATTTTATTCTTTATCGTGGGAATTCAAAACTTGGAAGTAAAAGAAACGTCACTGAATTTGTTAGGCAAATGGTCGGTGGCACCCTAGAGAGAAAGTCCACTCTTCCCCACAGGTGCTGAGCCCAGATCTTCCCGGGAGCCTAACTATTCTGAAAAGTTGTTTGTTGGCTTTTCCATCCATTTTCTGAGTCCATAGTATACTTCCAACCAACCCCTGGTTTTGGTTTAGGTACCAGAGTCAGTTTACTTGCAAATAAAAATCCTAACAATATACCATCACAGACAGTGGCCTCTCAATCACTTACTCCGGACTATCAGCCTGGTGAAGGCTGAGGTGAAGAGGTTTCCTCCGATGTACCTGGCTGAGTACACTCCGGCGTCCTGGGGCTGAGCGTGAGGCAGATGCACTTCTAAAATATCAGGTACTTCATGCCTGGGCACTGAGTGGATGAAGGAACCTGATAAAGGAGGAGTGAAGAGAATAAAGGTTCACACTCAAACACTCATTTCCTTGCCTGGCTCCTCTGTTTGATTGGCCTTCCATAACCATTAGAAAATGTGCTCTAGCCAGCATACTGAGTGTGGGAGAAGAATGAAAAGGCTGAGCTCAATGCTCTCCCAACAGTAGAGAAAGGTATGGTGACAGAGCAGATAGCTGATTAGTCTATGGAATCTACTGCCAAACACAGGAAGATGTGGGGAGGCTAAAGTTCTTACCTGCTGCAGATAGAGGTAAGCAGGCAAATCTGGGTGGGAAATGGCAACTAATCAATTAACCAGAAGATATCTAGAATCACTACTTTAATCTGGAAGTCTTATCCATCCACAGAACTCAGAATAAGCCCCAGCGATATTTCAGCTAGACCAGGTCTTCGCCACCAAGTGGTGCCAAACCATAGCTGGACAGAAATGGATTTGGGTTGCACAGGTAAGGCCCCCAGAACAATTGCCAGTGGCTCTCCAGGCTCATGCTGAGCATTTTATTAACTTTTCAATCAAACAAGCAGACATTTTATATGGCAGAATCTGGAACCCCACTTGTCACATCACGATGGGGTTTATTGTACATTTATAATTCATACTGTATATTCATATATGTCTATGAATCTTGAATTTACTTGATTGAGCCACCAAACACATCTTCTAAGAGAGCTTCTATCATATAATTTGGTTAGCTTGCTTCATATTAGCTTTATTTCCAGCATCTGCTCCTAAGACTGCAGTAAGATAATGACACAATGTGCAGTGTGCTAGCTGTGTCTCACACCATGGCGCTGAAAGGAAGCAAAGCACAGACTCACCATTCTTGTAAATCACTGCGTCTTCTTCTTTAATCAACATCTTTTTGAAAGATATGTTCACGTTGTCTCCCCTATCCACGGTCATGGTTAAAGTAGATGGTAGGAAGGAAGCTTTTAAAAGAGAAAAAACAAAGGAGAAAATGAGGTTGCATATTTTCTCCACCATTTGAACTTCTGACGGTGAAGGCTGGCACTGGGCAGCTGTCTGATGGTTTTCATGGTATTAAAACAGTGGTAGCTGGTGGCTTTCTTAAGGTAATATCATTTTCAAAGAATTTGATGAAAGGAATCGTTATTTCCTCTGTAAAAATATAAGTATATACATACAACATACATATGTACATTTTTCCATGTAACTAGCTAGGGAGGTGAGGACTTTGTATTGATTAATATCTATTACTAAACTAAAACCTGATATTAACGATGAACCTGCCCTCTGCAATCCTTAGCAAGTTTTCTCTAAGTGGACTAGAATACCAATGGCCAGATAAATGGCTTTTCTCTGTGTCCTTTCAGGTTGTTGTTGCTTCAAATGATTCTCATTGCTCTTTTTATTGGGGATGGGGAGGACTTGTTCCTTTTTTATTTACAAAACTAGAATTAGCTATATCCTTACAAAAAAATAAGAATTGCTATTTTAAGAAGATGTCATTAAACTGCTGAAAATGAACATACCCATGTAGAAAGAATATCAAGAGTTATTGAAAATTACTACAAATAAAAGGCACAGTTTTACTACATATATTTTGAAAACACCATGATTAGACATTAAGCAAAATAATTTCATTAAATGTCGGGATGTCTTTATTCATGATCCAAGTAGAACACTTTTGAGAGATTTTCATTGCTTTAGAATGCCTCAAGCATTTCTTAAGTGGATTCAGTACAATGCTGCACTTACTATGAATGGTGTAAATATCGGAATATTGAAGAATGAGACAAAGACCTAACATCTTGCCTTCTACCCTTTAGTTAGATATATATGAGCTGACATATCATGGGACTGGAGTATTAAGATGAAACTGGAGAAGTTATTGTGGATTTGGTTCATAAAATAATTTTGGGAACGACTATCTCTGTGTTAAGCTTGGAACAAAGTATTGCATGAGCTCCTTGATGTATGGGACAAGATGTGTGAACAAAATCTTGTCGCAGTCTCCCAGCTACAACAGTTCCTGAGTCCCTTTAATGTACACCATAATTTACAGAGAACCACAACTTCAGAATAAGAGGGAAATAACTCTAGGCTTTAAATTAAGCCACTTTTTAAAGTTCCAGCCTTATTGAGGTATAACTGACATGGAAAGTAGGCCAACATAGAAAATGTAAGAATAACCACTAAAAGAAGAGAAACAGAACATCTATAACTTTCTTAAATACTGAGGGCAAGGAGAATGGAAGCAAACAGGGACATAAAAGGAGGGAAAAAATCACAAAGAAAAATCATGGCATACAGAAAAGACATAGTAAGATGTGAAAAGCCAGAGATCCTCAGAATAAATAAATGTAATAGATATAAATATGTAACTATGTGCTCTTTCCATGAATTACACATTTAGTGTAATGACATATAAAACTGAGTAAAGGGACAGAATAACATACACTGCACTAATAACTAAAAGAAGCTTGATATCGCAATATTTTTATCTGAAGAAAAAATCTATTCCGAAGCCAAAACAAAATTTTAGGGATCAAGATGGTCTTTATGAGATGAGAAAAAGACACAATCCACCAGGTGGGTTAAATAACCCTGAATTTGTATGTGCCCCCAATAGCAGAACTTTAAAACCAGGAAACAAAAACTGACAATTAAACAAAGAAAGTGCCAACTCCAAAAGCATTGTAGAAATGTTCAAAATTTGATGAATCAAATGGACCCAAAGTCAGTGAGAACAAATAAAGATTGGAATAACACGATTTAAGGTCTGTTGGATATTCATGGACCCCTGTACGTAGCTATCTGAATATAGGCTATTGTGAAGCATACTGCCCGCTATGAAGCCACAAAGCACACCTTAAATTCTCTGGCTAGAATCCATCTAAATTAGAAATCAGTGCAAAACACCCTCTACTGGATGTCTGAATCCCCACAGAGTGGTTTTTAGATGGACGGCATGAGAAGCTGATTAAGAGCTCAGAGAGCTGCCCTGTGAGGGCAGAGGATGCCTTTGACCCACACTCGGCATCCGGGCTTCAGGTCTGTCTGCTTGTTGTGCCTGCTGACCAAGGCACAGTGCCCAGCCAGGACTCCGCCATAGATGCCTTGGTGCAGACAGGAGAATGCTGTACCAGTGTCGGCAAACTCAGTCAACAGAGCCAAATATCAACAGTACAATGATTGAAATTTCTTTTAAGAGCCAAATTTTTTAAACTTAAACTTCTCCTAATCCCACTTCTTCAAAATAGACTCGCCTAGGCTGTGGCATTTTGTGAAAAAGCTATACTCAAGGGGCCAAAGAGCAGCGTGTGGCTAGCAAGCCGCAGCTTGCCCACCACTAGTGTAGGTCAAAGGGCCTGTGAGCCCTGGCGTAAGACAGTCCTGGCTTGAGACTACCCTCTGCCACTCACTGGGCCTCTGTGAGCAACCTACTTAAGCTCTGAACACCACAGTGCCCTCATCCATAGTTTGGAAGTAAAAATATTTACCTTCAATGGTTGCTGGGAATATTAAGTGATATATGCCAAGTCCCCAGTGCTTAGAAGTCAGTATCCTTCCCAAACAAATCAATGGCAGCACTGCTGTGCCAATTTCTGTAATATGGACTTGAGTGGTGGCTTTCTCAACTTGACTGACATGAACCAACCTGAACCAGTCGTGTAGGAGGGCAGCAGGCCTGGGGGCAGTGGGGCCTGGGGGCACCGGGGCTCTGGAGGGTGTGCTCACACTTACAAGGCGCTCCCTCCCGCAGTCCTGGAGTGTGTGACTTGCTCTCTGCCACAAGCTCCTGGGCTCCTGGGATAATTTTCCCGACCACTTCATGTTGTTCCTTTCTCTGTGGTTTGTTTATAGTTTCTGCCCCTGCCTGTTTAGCTGACCATGGGACTTCTCGCCCAGCATTGTTTCTGAAAAGGAACCAAGACTTCCCGCTACACTCCACCCCAAGGCAGCTTCTCTCTCCCCCCACGCTGTGGCTATTATTCCAGACCTTGTGCTCACTGAGCTCCCTGTTCCCTCAGGTAGGAACACAGCCACACCAGAGTCCCGGCTGCCCAGCCTGTCGCCTCCTGCACCCACATCTCCAGGCTGATGACCCAGGAGCCCAGCTTTGCCATAATGTCATGGGCCTTGACTGAGTCATGAAAACGATGAACACCTTTGAACAGTGCCTACTGCCACCAGGCACTGAGCTGAGAACTTGAATTTTCCTAATATCTCTGTGAGATAGCTATTACAATGATCCTACTTTTACAAATAAAGAGATTAAGATACACAGAGGTTATGTAACCTGTGCAAGACCACACAGAAAGTTCATGGAAGAGACCTTTCAGAGGTTAGTACTCAAAAGGCTTCAGGTCCCAGTACCTTGTCTTAAAGGAGACTGCTGAGGCCTGGACAAGAGAAGGAGCTGCTCAGGTTCACTGGGATGAGCTCCTTAATGGGAAGAACTTAACTAAAAAAACAGTTCACTGTTCCTTTTAGGGCTGGAGAAGAAAAATAGATGGAGTAACAAAAATGTTTCTCAAGGATGAAAAATAATTGAGGAAAATTTCCGTTGTGTTCTTTAATTATAAGGACTTGGAACAATAAGATGTACTTTTATGTTCATTATAATCTTACATAATAAAAGCCTAATATGCAAATTGTCCCCTCAACTGGAGTTTGAACAGGGGGCGGGGCCAGCTGGCCAACCACAGGAAGGGAGGCCCCTGCCGATGGCAGGCAGCCAGGAGAAGGAAGGTCCTGGCCAGCAGCAGGCAGTGCGCTGGGCCTCTAGTTTTGTATAACTTCACAAAGCCCTGTGCAAACAGGATATCCAATTTACCAACATGGGAGACAGAGTTAAAGGTAACTAAGTCCCTTACTCAGGGCCTCCTAACTTTGAGTAAGTGTGAAAGTTAACACACAATTTCCAGATGTCCACATTTGTTCCCCAACACCAGCTCTCCGGCCTCATCATATTCAGGCCTGCATCCGGGCCAGCCTCCATTCTAAAATATATGAAGTTCTTCAAACAGACCTTGTGATCATTCACATCTAAGTTGTGAATTTCCTGCTTTCTCTCTGCTCCTTCATTTCCCCTATGTCTCACCGACTCCTTCTCATTCAGTCTTCATTTATTTTATTTTAATTTTTTAATTTGTTTTAGAGAGACAAAGGGAGAAGAAAGAGCGAGTGAGAGTGAGAGAAATATCAATGTGAGAGTGAAACTGCAATCAGTTGTCTCCTGCTCAAGCCCTGACTGGGGATGCAGCCTACAACCTAGGTATGTGCCTTGACCGGGAATCAAACCCTCGACCTTTCAGGGCATGGCACAATGCTCCAACCAACTGAGCCACACTGGCCGGGGCTCAGTCTTCACTTAGCTGTCACTTTTTCCAGGGGCTTTACACAACCCCTGGGGTCCCAGTGAAGTGCCACTGCTACGGTATTGCCCCTACTAGCCTGAGCTCCAGGAGGGCAGGTCCATTGGAAGGCAGCACGAGGTGGGCCAGGTCTGGCCTCTGAAGTCAGGCCTGTGTCAACCATCCCAGGTCCAACAATGGGAACCAGGTGTGCGAGTGTACCTAAATTACAATAGCTACAAGCCTCCTCTTTTAATATGGGATCATAATAGTCCTCAGGAGATAAGCATTTGGAAAAGACTAGATTGCACAGTAATGTATATAAGTAGGAAGAACTTGGGAAATGTTAACACCATTGCATCTCCCATGTGTGGCACAAATAAAGGCCGAAGAACACCTGTGGAATGAAAGAATAAATGAGTGAATCTGATTTCAAATTTTCCTACTTCCCTCATGCTTTCAACATGTTCATTTGTGTTATTTAGATAAAAATGGCTCACCTCTTTCCACTTCACAAATCACGTGTGGAAAGTCTGATGTCCTTAAATCCAGCTTTTTCTCAAATGAAAATAGGAAGAAAAATCACCTGCTTCTTCCGATGGAACACCCAAACAGATGTTTGGATGTGAAAATGTCTCTAATGTCAGATCTACCTCCCCACTCCCAAATGAAATCTCCAGCAAGGTCTGAATAAACTGCGTTTGACTTTTTTGGATGAGGCCATTGATAAAAACAGGCTGGCCATTTGGAGTGAGAGAGCCAATTTAAGCCATGTTTTGGCACATCTCAAATGGATTTTCCACTTCCTCACAGCTGCAGGAGTCAGCAGCAGGCAGGACTGAGGCGGTGTTGATGCTATCCGGCTATGTCCCTGGGCAAGCACTTCGCGGTTCCCACGATGTTGTACCAGGGAACTGAGAGTGCCACAAAGACAGAGTTTTGGAGGTTTTCCTGATTCACTAGGAAGGACATCCCTTTGCTCATTCCATATTTCAGCCGTTGGATGGTCAGCAAAAGAAACAGAATCAGTTCAATGGCCTGAGCTGTTATTACTGAAATATAGGAAAGTACTACCTATTTTTCTATCTTAGATAAATCTCCACAATTATGTTAAGTAGATGATATTAAAATCTTTCACAATTAAGTGGGAATATTAATAGCCCCACTAAATTATTGCTTATCCCACGGAACCATAATGATAATTATTGAACATCTGCTGTGAGCCAGATAACACTAATGATCTCATTTGACTCTTGAGTGTATGTGATTCAGTCTCTATCATTTTTTTTTTTCAAATGGGGAAACTATGATTTCAATTAAGTAACTTGCCCTGGGTCATATAATTCTGTTGCAGAGCTGAGCTCAAACCCATGTATGGTGACTTCCGTCCCTGTACCTCTACGCTGTGCCCTGTGTTGCTCTGTAGGGTTTCCGTTGAAGTGGTAGTACTTCATAAAACAAGTGCCCAGGATGAGGGAGAGAGAGGTGGACACTGAGAGTGATACACAAAGGGTAGTGTAGTGGCCAGAAATACCGGCTCTGAAACCCAATCACTGGGCATCAAATCCATTCCCATTTACAGACTGCTGTCATCACTATGTAAAAGTACTCCGCAATGTCTCCCTTACACAAGCTTTTTAGGACGCATCCACTGTGCAACTCATATCTTATTTTAATTTTTTTAAATTATATTTTTATTGATTTTAGAGAGGGAGAAGGACAGAGAGATAGAAACATCAATGATGTGAGAGAATCATTGATTGGCTGCCTCCTGCATGCTCCCTACTGAGGATTGAGCCCACAATCTGGGCATGTGCCCTTGATTGGAATTGAACCTGGGACCCTTCAGTCCATAGACTGACACTCTAGCCACTGAGCCACATCGGCTAGGGCATCATATCTCATTTTAAGTGTACTCATGGAACTAGCTTCTTGCATATACCATCTTATTAGTAGCTTAAAAGACAATTTTGAAGATATTATGCCTATTCCACAGATTACAGAAAATCAGGCCACACAGCTAGGAAGAGTTGGAGAATGAATTAACACTCAGGTGAAGATGAATCCACAAGCTGTCTTTTCTCACCTGGTTCTCACTATCTAAGCCTGCTGGTGCCTCATTTAGTGACTTTGCCCTCTCCTTTCTCTGTGCTGACCTGGACTCTCTGTGGAGGGACCATTACAGTTGGGCTTTGACTCCCACTTTCCTGGTCTAACATGCTCTACAGGTCCTTATTTACACACTGGCAAGGACAATCCCAGGACACCCAGAAAGGGCCGGGGGCACTTCACATTTCATTCCTGTGAATCCATTAAGGCAACGTCTCAGATTCTCTTCACCCAGAATGTGCACAGATCAGCAGAAGGACATAACTCTTTATCCAGTGGAATCCCAAATGTCACATGTGAAACATAATAGAGGTGACTTTTCACCTTGCTAGCTTTGGCACACCTCACATCCCTTTGTTCAACCTCTCTTCCCTCACAGGGAGCTGCGTTCCTGGGAATGTCTGCCGTGCACTTTTCCCACTCGCCCTGGTGTCAGTCAAAGGGGAGCACAACAGTTTTGCTAAGAAACCTTTTCCTTCATTTGTAATGAATAGTGGTTTTAGCGCTTTTGACCTTAGAATCTTTTAATTACCACCCTTAGCAAAATTCAAAGCAATGTTATCATGTGAACCCCAGCTCGGCTCCTACTCTACCCTTCAAGGTGTGGACTCTGCCAGGAGAAGCTTCTCACCTGGGACCTTGTTAGAAATGCAGAAGTCCAGCTGCCTATCTGGTCCTGGAAGCCTCAGGGCAGAACAGAATCATTACAGCAGCATCTCCTCCCAACTGCCATCCAGGTGTGGGCTGCCCTAAAGACTGAGCTTAGGACCCACTTCTATTAGGACAGTGGTCGGCAAATTGCAGCTTGCAAGCCACATGCGGCTCTTTGGCCCCTTAGTCTACCGACCACTGTGCTAGAAGAGCCTTGCAGAATGCTCTCAATATGCTCCTTCAAAGTCTTGGTGTGCTGTGAGCGGGGCTCAGTGCTCCTCTTCTAAAATTAAGTCCTCATCTCTTTCTAAGAATGGCAGCCTGCAAAAAAGGCCCAGTGCTTCATCCCTCCCTGTAGCCACACTCTTCACCATGTCACCCGGTAGTGCCCTCCTATCTGATTTAGGCTCAGCTGTTAGACTTGCTTTGGACAATAAAATGAGGTAGAAATGAGAATGAATAATACTGACACTTGAAACTTGAGGTTTCAAGAAGTCTCAAGTGTTTCCACTTGTTCTCTTGCACTTTTGCCATGTCCATGAGACCATACCTAGGGTCATGCGCATGTGGAACAGAGTCAAGCTGGCCCAACCAAGGCCAGCCTAATGAGCTATCAGCCACACAACATCCTTACGTGCGAGAAAACCCAGTCAAGATGAGCAGAGCCACTTAGTCACACCCACAAGCAATAAGTGCTTATGGCCGCATGCCTCTGTGGTCTGTGGTTGTGTTGCACAGTATTCTTGTGGCAGTAGATAACTGACACCCCCATAACCAACTAGGTTCCGTTTTTGATAGATGTTACCATTTAATTTTTTTAAATATATATATATTTATTTATTTATTTTATTTTATTTTATTTTTTTTTACAGAGAGGAAGGGAGAGGGAAAGAGAGCTAGAAACATCTGTGAGAGAGAAACATCAACCAGCTGCCTCCTGCACACCGCCCACCAGGTATGTGCCCGCAACCAATGCACATGCCCTTGACCAGAATCAAACCCAGGACCCCTCAGTCTACAGACCGATGCTCTCTCCACTAAGCCAAACTGTTTTCGTCCATTTTAGTTTTTTATCTCTACCATACTTCTCCCCTGAAATCATTAGCTCTGTTAAGAATGTTTAAGGAAAGGCAAAAATAAATAATCAAATAAAAAAATCAATGAGAAAGCTCAAAATAGCCAACAGTCTGGCAGTGTACAGCTGTCCTCATTGCTATGACTTTTACATTACATACATGTAACATGTTCATTTTTCCATAGGGCTGTGAATCCCTTTTTTAGAACATATATTTCACTTTATCTTATGCATAATGTCTAGTGAATGGGGCTGAATGTGAGGAAGTTGGCCTGGATGTCTTATTTCTCTCTAATGCTTGGTATATAGAGATAGCAATGTCTCTAGGCAGACAAGGTCTTGAAGCTATGCCAAAGCAGCTCATACTAGCCCCTGAGTGAACAGCTGCCAACACCGAAGGGGTGTGTGTGTGTGTGTGTGTGTGTGTGTGTGTGTGTGTGAATGGGCCTTATGTGCCACAACAAGGGACATTTTACCTTGTTGGCGCATCTTCATGGTGCGTATCTTGATTGCCTCTCCTCGAACTCGCCCTTCACAGAAGTAAGCACCATTGATTTTACTGGCCTTTTCTCTCTTCCAAAGGACGTTTTTAGCCCCTTCTCTGGTCACATCTTGAGTAACTTCCAGTGGATCCTGGTGCTGGTTCATTAAGGCTTCAAAGTCTCTTCCTATGGTGAGGGGCTCATGGGGGCGCCATCCAGAGGCGATGCAGGTGAGGGATGTTTCAGCATCAGACACAAGAGGTAGGGAATTGATCAAGATCAGGTCCATGGCACCGTCCACTGTGCCTAGAAGGAAAGAGGGAGCATAATGTAAGACAGAAGTTACTAACATGGCCCAAAGGATAAACTGCTGCTTACAAAGCCCTAAAAGAAGCCATGTGAATCTATTCCAAAGACTGATATAACTCGATATGCAGTTGGGGGGATGAAAAGAGATAAATCAAAGAACTTAACCTATATAATAAAAGCCTAATATGCAAATCAACCAAACAGCAGAACAACCAGTCAATGGGGTGGGTCCAGCGAGCAGGTGGCACCAGGCTAGCCCTCCCACCACTCTCTTGCTGAACATGAAAATACCAGGGATGGAGGATGTTCTCTAGCTCCAGTGATGGTTAATACCCAAAACTACTGAATAGGAGGTCAAGCACATTGGATGATGAGGACCAACTTGAGACTTAGAGATCTTTGTGTACCCTGTAAAGTGATTCAAGTAAGGTACATGTTAGCTCATCAAATACTCATTAAATTTTCTCAACCCTGTGAAATATGTACTATTACCTTATTTTTAAATATGAAAAAATAAATCCTTAAAAATATTGAGTAGCTTATTCAATCTTTTCCAGCTGTTGAAGTCAGAGCTGAAATTCAAATGTGATGTCTTTTCAGTTCTTGGATACACCATACCCCTTCCTGCCTCAAAGTCTTTGTACATGCTGATTCCTGTGCCTAGAATACTATTCTGCACTCTGCATGACTGACTTATGCCATCCTTTGGGTCTCAGCTCAAGTGCCTTTCTCAGATGGCTTCTCTATCTGCCTTATCTATAATATCTTCCCATTCTCATCCCATTAGCCTTTAACTCAGTTTTTTGTTTGTTTCATAAAGTTTATCATAATGTGTGAATATTTTATTTATTTTCTCTTCCCCTAGATTGTAAATTTCAAAAAGATGAGGATTGAAGCTGTTTTGTTCACATTGATTTATACAGGAACATCCTGCTTAGTCTCAACATATAGATAACTTAGATGTATTTGTTAGATGGATGGATTGGTGGGTGGATGAATGGAAAAATTTTACTCCAGACCTGTTTGACCCATGTCTACCTATTCACTTAGCTCTCACTTCTAGGATAATGAAGTTAAAAGTGAAAATGCTGCCTTAGCCAGTTTGGCTCAGTGGATAGTACATCAGCTGTGGACTAAAGGGTCCCATGTACAATTCTGTTTAAGGGCACATGCCCAGGTTGCAGGCTCAATCCCTGGTAGAGGGCATGCAAGAGGCAGTCAATCAATGATTCTCTCTCATCATTGCTGTTTCTCTCTTTCCCTCTTTCTTCCTCTCTGGGAAAAAATAAAATTAAATGCTCTCCTAAATCTAAATGGACTTGGTTGCCCATATTCAAAAGACTGGTTTGATAATTAATAAGTTTATAGGGGGAAAAGCAAATGTTACAATTTTTACAAAATATCATAGAAAGCTGATGAATGGTTGGTGAGCATTTGAGCTCACTGGAATTCATCTTTCAGATATTTTTTGAATGCCAACTTATGCCAAGCATTGTGCCTGACATGAAGTCCTCAAATAATTTGTTTTTTCATGGCAATTGCCAGTGTTTGATGTATGTAGTGAGGTTTTGAGGATGGATCTACCAAGAGTTCATTTTTATCTGATTAATGAGGAAGAATTTATAAAAGTTAAATATTAATGTAAGTGAGAATTAGAGGCTACTCTTCTTTTCTTGTCCTGTTAACTCAATACATGGGGTTGAGGAAGGAAACCTTGAGCAGAATGGGTGGGATTCCAAGCCTGACTCTGAAGCACCTCGCTTGCTTTTCAACCTCATTGATAACATTAAGATCCTGAGAAAGAGAACAGAGGTTATGAGAAGAAAAATGTTGCAAGAGAGAATGAGCTAAGACACTCAGCAGAATCACAGCCTCCCCAGATAATGCCAGAGCATAGCTCCTTTTCCACATGCACATCTGGCCCTGCCTCCGTGGGTGCACCACCTCATCTCATACACTCACTCATTCCAGATGTGCTCCCAGAGAGTCATCGAGAGGAAGGAAATACTGGGATTCTCTCAGCCCGGGTTTTACCAGCCCCATTTCCAGGGCCAACTGAGTGACTTGCCAAAACCAAGGGATCTGCTCTGAACTGCATTGGCACTGACGATGGTTTACTTAATGACTTTAGGAAATAATAGAACAAGCCATTGATTTGAAGAGACAACCTCACGTCATCTGTCAATTGTTTCTAGATATTGATCTGGTTTCGTTTTCCTCGTGCTCCTCCTAGTTCTCTCCTTTTACTTCCTGGGATAGGAAAGTTGTGCATCCAAGAGTCTGAATTTGACAATACTTCATTACCTTTATGCCAGTTATAGGAAGTCCTCTTCCACCAGTGAGTCCTCTGTCCTTCGTAATGCCATTTACAATAAAATAACAAAAAGGTTTTGCATATTGCTGTGAATATGAGAAGAAACCCTTACCAGATTCCTGGGAGAGATCTTTTTTTTTTTTTTTTTTCTCCTTAATTTTTATTGTTCATATTATTACAAATGTCCCTTCCCCCCCCCTTCCCACCCCACCCTCTGCCCTTTCCCCTCCCCCCATTGTCCTCATCCATAGGTGCACAGTTTATGTCCTGGGAGAGATCTTAAAAATCATCAACTAAGTTTTCCTAAAATAAGAATCCGTATTTGTACTTGATATGCCTAAATAATTTCTGGAAGGTGATGCATAAAACTAAGAACAAGGATGATCCTTTAGGGGAGAACTGGGCAGCTGGGGGACAATGATGGGAGGGAGGCTTTGCACTTGTATGCATATGTATGCTGGCTTTTGAACCATTGTAATATTACCTACACATAAAATTAAATGTAAAAATGTAAACATCATTGCCCATCACTTAAAAATGCACTCTTGGCCCTAACTGGTTTGCCTCAGTGGATAGAGCATTGGTCTACAGACTGAAAGAACCCCAGGTTTGATTCCAGTCAAGCTCAATCCCCAGTAGGAGGCATGCAGAAGGCAGCTGATCAATAATTCTCTCTCACCATTGATGTTTCTATCTCTTTTTCCCTCTCCCTCTCCCTTCCTCTCTGAAATTAATATATATATAATTTTTAAGACACACTTGGAAGGAAATCAAGAGCCATAGAAATATATGTCTCTCAACATTTATTCCTGCATCCTCTCCAAATGTCCTTGGATTGCATCCAAATAATGCATTTTCTTTTTCTCTCTTCTTTGGACTAATAATAAGAAATGTGATGTTATTCCACAATGTTGGAAAAAATTTTAAAACATGGGTTAATAAGGAGGGTGGCCACATTTTACCTCTTAAAGAAACAGAGGAATAGAGGCCCTATTGCATTGGGTGCAGCTATGGCCTGTGGCTTCTTGAAAGAGTTCTATGACTGCAATTGCATGGCGGGTGCCATATAACAAATCTCGTCTTGGGGACATTTTCCTAAGAATAATTGCCAAAAGACTGATCCCACCTGGGCTCATACCTAATGCTTTTTTTAAATGACAGCTTTATTCTCTCCAGTCTCACTGACTTGTTTTATCATAGCCATAGTCTGAAGGGTTCTGATCAAAGTCATTGATTAGTTCAATTTTCATGTCTATCATCAAGGCTAAGCGTTTGCTATAAGTAAAAGTAAGATCATACTGAATTTCAAACATCGTACATGTTTTGGGGATTCATACTATTTTTCCTTAGTAATGATCCTGTAAACACTCCAATACTTTACATGAGATGTGTCTTTTTCACAAGGAAATGCTTGCCATGGTGGCACAGCATCTGTCAAGTTAACAAATGATTGCTCACCACAATCTAGGCATAATGATATCCTAAAATGCCATTCTGTTCATTGTATTTCTTTTGTGATCAGCATCTAATCCTTACAGTAACATTTTCTTACTAAATCACATTGTCGTGCATTCAAAATAGTGTTTAAATCCTGTATTTGCAATTTATATTTTCTTGTACTCAATTTGCTTTGAGTAATGGCCTGTTAACCAAGACACAAAAATATTTTTCTTTAAAAATAGTAATATAAGCCCTTGTGGCCCTAAATCACCACCCATACAATAAAACTAAATCGAATTAGAAATTAGAGACAGGGCCATGTTTTTTAAACCGCTTCAAGGAGTTATTTCTCATTTTCTAAAGAGTGTTTTAGAATGGTGGAGGTGAAATGAAAAGCAGGTTCCGGACACCCACATGCACACGCTCACTGAGCTGCTCACCCTCCATTCTTTTTTACATTTGGACTTCATATTGCTTTTCTTTAGGACAGTGGTCGGCAAACTGTGGCTCTCGAGCCACATGCGGCTCTTTGGCCCCTTGAATTTTTAGCAAAGGCCAGCTTAGGAGTACCCTAATAAAGTTAATAACAATGTACCTACCTATATAGTTTAAGTTTTAAAAATTTGGCTCCAAAAGAAATTTCAGTCATTGTACTGTTGATATTTGGCTCTGTTGACTAATGAGTTTGCCAACCACTGCTTTAGGAAAAAAATGATCTGCTTAAATAACAACATATAAAGCCCCCGAGGTCATCACTTTTAACTATTTTTTTTTTTACAGATGAAGCACACAAAAGGATGAATATAAACATCAATAAAAATACATTTCACTGCAGCACAACGTGCTTATTGCAATCAGCCTTCTCCTCCCACATTAAAGTTCAGGTAGTCAAGCTCTGATGAACCCAGCTTCCTGCTCTTCAAAGTGCTGGCAGGCTAAGAGGAAAAAGCAAGTTAAATATCGCACACTGAGGCTATTTCATTGTGCTTCTTATCGCCTGAGAATTGCAGTGTTGTGTGGAGTTTCAGTGCTGTGTGTTTGGAATAAGGTCACAGGTCTTCAGAACAACTGTCTGTATGGTTTCTTGGAAGTCTGCTTTGACTATGTTTAAAATTTTTTCAAGGCTGTGCTTGGTCACTCCACCTTTATGATAGCAGTAGATACTTTACATTTTAAATATTTTAAATGGGCACTACCCAATGATCACTAGCGTGGCCAAAAGTATTTTTGAAATCAAGGGTTG